GGTTGAAAAATGCCTATTTCGCCCATCAACTAAACCAGCTCCATCTTTAGTGTCACTTAGCTCACTCAGCTCATCCAGCTCACCCAAGTAAGTGTCATCTGATGGGGAAACCTCGGTTGAATTGAGTTGGTCGACAAGATCGTCTCCTTGGGCCGGTTCTATGATCCGAGCAGGTCGGTGCTCGAACCGGGGCACATCAATATGTTCCCCGGAATTTCGTCGGAAATTTCCGACGGAGCAGACGTTCCTCGGAATTTCCTCGGAATAGTCCGAGGAAATTCCGAGGAAACCCAAAATTTTTGGTTCTTCGGAATTTCCTCAGAATTGCCACGGAATATTCCGAGGAACTCATTTTCCCTCGGAATTTCTCTCAGTATATCGATGTTTTCTTGTAGTGTAATGCATTGCCTGCCAGGAAAATACGTTAAGAATCCACAAAAGTGTAATACCATTTGAAAGAAGATATATCTCTCAAGTATTATTGTGCAAGCATATACACACAACAACAAAAAAAACAAAGGGTCTTTAAAAACAGTCAGGTATGTCCTTCAGAGTTCCCTACTTCAGATACAAAAGGAAATGAAATTTCAAACTTAGCTTCACAGTTCTAAATGATTTTCAGATATGTTTCATAATCTTGTTGAGTTCTTTTGCAACGTCTATCATGTGAAGCTCGTTTTCTCTTCGTCTGAATCTTACACATCTTAAAGCAAGGTCAACGAATGCTTCCATTTGCGGTCTTAGATGCTCAGGAATGTCGCCGCTCACGCTTTCCAACATGGACGGGTCTATCAGTTTAGTCAAGAGACCTCGATCCACCAACTTGCCAATATAGAGAGGCAATACAGGAAGATAAACAGCAACTTCAGAAGTATATTCAGAGTTCCCAGTCAAAAGATGAGACAGTGATGTCACGGTAAAAGTTGTCATCTTCGAAAAGGGAACAGTCTTGGTATGTCTTGATCATTACGGGTCTGTTTTCAATATTGCCTCTGTACCACACGAATCTGTCCTCGGAGACTATGTTGTCCCAGTTGTTTGTGGCTTGAAGAATTTGGTGGGAAGAAAATGTACGGATGGGATTGTATATACCTCCTGAACATGCAATGAGTTCCTCCAACAACAAGCTTCCATTCTTCTGGAAATGAATCTCTTCTTGTTTCTTTTTCTTCCTCTTGAACAAACAGAACATCTTAAACATAGAATATGAGATTGCAAGATCGTCTTGGTAAGAAATGGACGCAAGAAAATAAGAGAGAGGAACAGGCCAAGTCAACTTTGGTGGGCTGTGGTTCGGTAGGAAGATCTCATCAAGTCAACCGGATATACTTTTTGGTCGGAAGATATCTTTTAGTTAAGCCCCTTGTTCTCAGTAAGAGGCACACATATAATTTGGTCATTCAATAGTATTCTCTTCCCATTCATATTAAGTTTCCCATTCATATTAAGGGTCTAACTGGTAACCACTATAGAAACGATAAGAACGTAAAAAAGAATGGATAGGAAAAAGTTTGCAGGAACAAAAAGGAATGATTGTTCTTTATCAATATTAACAAGGAATAATTTTGTTTTATATTCCTCTACAAAAAAAGGAATCAGAAGGAACAAGAAGGGAAAATTATTCCTTGCGAATGATGATTTTGGCTCTGACTGGTAACCATCACGAGAATATCAGGAATGAATAGGAATAGAATAGATGGGAATAAAATTATGGGAATGAAAAGGAATAACTATTCCTTATCAAATTTAATAAGGAACAAATGTGCTTAATAAATCTCTAAATAAAAGGAATGAGGAGGAATAGAAAGGAAAAACTATTCCTTATGAATGGTAAATTATTTTAGGAACATTAAGGAATGCATTGTTCCTCCTCATTCATTTGGTCACCATTTATAGCCTTTATTTAGGAATGTTAGGGAATGGATTATTCCTCGTCATTCCTTGGTCTCCATTCATACCCTAAGTGTTGTTGTTAAAAAAAAAAAATATTACAAAATAATTATCGTTTTCAATTTTCAATACAAAATTCTTTAATATATACTGTAATTTATTTTTCTATTGAGTGAAATATGGTTAGGTATAAATATAATTATATTTTATATAAGAATATGCAAATTAATTATTTTTTTAATCCGTTTGCACCAAGCTAAAGTGACACTTAATATGAAATAAAATGATTAAGTAATAACTAACTAGCTAATAATCCACATTCTCTACACATAACTAGATATTTTATAAAATATTTGTTAAATAAATTATTTAATAATTTTATATATGTCCATTTTCTATAAAAAAATATTAGGAAAATAAAAAAATGATGAGTAATAAATTACATAAAGAAAAATAACAAACCAAATTTTGAAATCTCAAAAACTCATATTGATATCTACATTAATTAAATATTTTAAAATGTTAAGTAATTAAAACCTTAAACTTATAAATGTAAGCTGAACTTTATTTTTAATAACACTAAACATTACAATTCAGATATTTTTACTATGGGCATACTAGATTGAAAAATATAAAGAAAATAAACAAAATAAGCAAAATATATATTAAGTAAAAAATATTTTTAATAGTGGTAACATATAGTAATTTTAATTCATTAAAAATATCTAGGATTATCTTATTTAAGAAGATTTTTGAATAACTAGATTAAGATATGATTATGGTAAAAATGTATTTTCCTATTTCTGAATCCCTTTTTTAATTTATAAATGTTTCTCTTTATTGTATATGTTATTTAAAAAAATAAAACTAAAATTAAAATCTAACTTACAGAATTTATTAAATAAAAAGAAAAAGTAAATTTTAATAACGATAATTAGATGTAATATTTGAAACTTATAATTGTATATTTGTAATTTTCCTTAATTAAAATTAACATGAACAAGACAAATAAAAACTGTAAAAATATCTATACACATGATATATTATTTTTGAATGAATGTTATTCAGAGCAAAATAAACATTTTTACAACTTATGCAACTCTGATTAAATTGTATTTCTAAAGAGCTTAAAACTGGTTCGTAAATCTCCTCATCTTCTCTCATCTGTGCTACTATGTACGTGTTGGCAAATGCATGTTCATGAAAGTTAAAAAGTTTGATGTGGGTGACAACTTGAGAAGAAATGAAGGGAAATGCTTTAATGAATAAAACAAGTTGACTCTTAATTGCACATAATACCGAAAACGAATTGGCTCGCCATACTCATATATGATTACTACTGAAAATTGAAAGAGACAAGATATCATGCTATTAATTTCCGATACACATACATTGACAGACTCATGTATGTAATAATGTAGTTACCAGTTTTCTTACTTGAGTTCTGTGAACATTCTTTGATTGGGTGCACTTATTGTTAGGAGGATTTTATTGGATAAAAAGCACTTCAGAACAAAAACATTGATAATCTTTTGAAGAACTGAACTTATGCCTTGGCTTAAATAAGCCCACGGTCAGTAGTCAGGCAAAGACTAAAGAGAATAACAACAAAAACAGCATATGTTAAGATGGTATTATCTAACAAAGAAAGACACCTTAAGATTATTTAATCATTGTCTTTTTCATGACACCGAAGAAGAAGCTGTCTCCATCTTTCTCGAACCTGACTCGCCCTTCCTTCAAATCAAACAGAGTATGATCCTTCCCGATCCCAACATAGTCTCCCGGATGAAACCTAGTTCCACGTTGTCAGACTATTATGTTTACCGGTATCACATTCTGCAAAACAAAACACATTCAGAACATTTTGATTCTCCGAATCCTTCCTAATTAGCTCATTGTTCTTTTTTTTTCCTTACCTCTCCTCCGAATTTCTTGACGCCGAGATTCTTGGGTTTAGAGTCACGACCGTTCTTGGTGGAACCAGCTGTTTTCTTAGCTGCCCAACGCTTAAAGACCAAACTCAACCCACTTTATGAACCATCTTAAACATCCCAAACACGAAAAAGAACACCAGTGAGGTAAACCAGAAAAGATGATCAAACTCGGTGATTAGTTCCCTCAAGCTAACTCTTCTGCATATGGATGCTGCTGAATTCAGAAAATTCATTTTTTTTTTCAGAATATGCAAGCAACAACGAGCATTAACTATTCAAAGGATAATCAAATACAATATTAAACCATTCCACTTCAAGATTTGAATATGCAACATTGTCAAAAAATTGAATAACTCTTCTGTTCAACGATTTATTAGCTTAACTTATCTTTTTCTTGTGAATACTTCTGTTTTGTTTTTTTGACAATGTTGCATATTAAAAAAAACTGAAGTATTCACAAGGAGTGAAAATGCCGAAAGCCCTATTTGCAAGTTGTCAAGTATACGCGTTTTAATTTTTTTACATTATGACCCCTACATTTTTATATCAATCGAAGTTAGATGTAGATTTTGTTCTGACAACTTTGTTACAATTTGTAACACACACAATGTTTTGATTCCGTTTCAAATTTAAGTTTTTTTTTGGAGAAAAAAAAACAGAAGTACACACACATGGTACCTTAACTTAGGTTTGTATGTGTGAACAAGTTGACATGATCACTCTTCTTTTTCTTCTTAACACAGGAAATAAATGTTATATTTTCATCATCTGTATGCATATGCATGTGTTTTGAACAACTTGGCATGATCTATATACTTTTCTCGACAGTAATCAATATCCATGTGATCCTTCACATGCCTTTGAAATCTTTCTTAACTATTTTTGAAATTTATATCCATATGTTTTCTTTTAAAGGGTCCTACGCTCCGTGCTTTGCCGTGCCGAACCCCGACCCTACAGATTTTTTTATAAATAATAACCCTTGTAATAAATTTTGTGTCACACCAATTGTTTTTGTTTCTTTTATTTTTTTGTATATATAAATTTGTATAGTTCATATACTGCATAAAGAAACATAGCTAAAAAAATCTTCCATGTGATATATATACATTTGTAGCCATATTGCAAAGCCAAACTGGTGATATCCTCATGTGTTCTCTAATTAACCGGATCCAAAAACTGAAAACTTATTTAACAAAACCAAATATTCCGTTCATTTCTTTTTGTAAACCGTTCATTTCATATTTGCACAAATCAAGATACTAAAAACGACTAGACCTAAGTTCTCCTCGATAAAGTTAATATCCGTTGTCATTTCTTATAACTTCTCCATCCTTTGTACATTTGAATATATTCATTTTTCATTTACTACTTTTCTTTTGTCACGTATCATTAAATGTTTTCATTTCCGGTAAAAAATGACTTCATACATTATTAGTTACTAAAAAGATAATATATTTTAAAATAAAAAATATCCCTATGTTCCCTCCTTTTCTCCGAGCACAGTGACTCAAACAATAATTGGGTGAACATGTGGAACTGGGTAACTGCACATGCCTTCTCTGTATCTTCTCTTTTCAATATTTTAGTATTTATACGTACAGACAAGTTTACATGAATTGATATTTACTCAGTACACAAGTTGGTATGTGTATATACGTTTTTGTTGATGCATATGTCTTTCAAGTTGCTTAAATCCTAATTTTCTCACATTTAGGAACAAATATATCTAGTGGTGGAATTAGTATCATTATACATGTGTGTTTAAGGTTCACTTTCGTACGATCTTAAAACAGTTTAAAGAAGAATAAAAAGTGTTATCGAGCTAGTTAGTAACTCTAAAGGAATGAATATTCATTCTGCTACTATTTCAATTTGCCAAAATTTTGCTCATCTATAGATCTGAATGCCTTGATTGAAATCTGCTAAGCAATCAATCTGACAATCCTGATTATAGACCTAGATCTGTTTTTAATTAATAGAAAAAAAATATCTGGTTTTATTATCTGTATAAACAAAACAATACTTATACGACATTGAGTAATGAATTTGTCTTCACTACATTCTATTTTGTTTAATTAATCATCATCCTACGACAAGCAAGGCTAGTAAGATTGTAGTTACAATTTACAGTTGGGACCGTTGGCCAGATCTAACTCCCGATCTTCAATGCACCGTCCTCTTTTTTCTTTCTCTTTTAAAACAATATAAACAATAAATTTCTAAAACAGTATAATATAATATAACCAGTATAAAGTATAAACTATGGATTCGTACTATATCTCTTTTAAAATAAAGTTTGAGTGAAATAAAGTAGAACATACTGTGGTTTACTGTTTAGCAAACAACAATTAAGAATCTAAATACAATACTAGTTTAAAACTAACTACAACGATATCTCGAACTAAAAATTTGATCTCCCCCCACCCCCACATTTTTCTTCATAGCTATGCAGTGGAATGAAACGGAGAATGCTCCTCCACACATGACAGCCGAAAGAAATGCGACACTCCAGGGTTTGAAATTACTCAACCCAACTGAAAATTGGAGATATGAAATCCAATAAAGTGCAAGACAAGTTGGCTTTCTTTAATTAAAAGGAATGTTAATTAAAATATGTAAAATCACTGAAAAGTATACTAAAATTTGTAAAACTGAAAACATATTTCTTAGATTTTTAAACTTTAGTTCATAACATATTACACAAGTATCGAATTCAAAATTTCTGGCGTCATTAAAAGAAAAGCTTTTCTTAAACCATGTGCAACCATCAACCACAGTTACCAATTGCAAGTGACTAACACTGCAGGACAACGTGGCCGAATATAACTGGAAGGACACGGTATTTACGATACGTGTTGCCGCATGGAATAATTTAATGGTAACCAGTGAGTGTATATATAGCTTATATGCAACATCATAGGGTCCTCAACCAATACTCCTCTCTCAGTACACATCGTTTTAAAGCTCAAACAAAAAGAGATCAAACTAGTTTGAGTAGATCTAGAGGAGTGTTTGGTTCTTTGGATAACAAAATCCTAAACAAAACAAAAAATGGCTAAGTCATGTGGAGCTCTCTTCCTCTTGGCCCTCGTTGTCTTCTTCATGCTCCAAACCATGGTAACATCTCACTTCTAAATTTCTCACATTGTTTCCATTTTATAATTAAAATCTATATATTTTAATTTTTCCTCCATCTCAGAAGATAATCTTGTTCTATCCTTGTACATTCTGTTGTAATACTTTAGCTAAATGTACTTGCACTGTTTTGGTCTTTAGGTTGCCTCAAAGAAATCTCCAGGGAAGTGGGACCCAGTAAGTTTTACTATTTAAAATTGAATAAATAATCCTTTAAGTTATTATCTAACAAGTGTTTTTGATTATTTACTTATGACGTTTATAACTTTTTGGATATTTTTCAGAAACGTTATTATGGACCAGGAAGCGTGAAACGTTCCCGTAAGTGTTTCCTTTACAGCTATATTTTTTGTCTATATTGTTCACCTAGAAAACTAAATCGATGACTAAGTGAAGAAAGTTGTTAAGCAAAACTGTTCAACAAGTTGAAAGTGGAGTTCTGGACTGTTTGTTCAGATCCGTGGACCCAGATAACTAATATTGACTATTATACCCCTAAATAATGTTTCAAGAGTCAAAGCAGTCCACTGTCTTGGGACACACATCGGTCAAAACACATAACTATGTCCTTGCTTTTTCATCATTTTAGGCTTCTTTTCACTAGATTCAGTCATTTAATTTATAAAATATCGTCGACAAAATTCCTCTACATAAAATATCGACTAATTTCAAAGTTGACAATGTGAAATGACCAGAATGCCCAAAGGAGTGCGATAGGAGGTGTGGAGATACACAGTACCACAACGCGTGCATCTTGTTCTGCAACAAATGCTGCAGAAAGTGTTTGTGTGTGCCTCCGGGTTACTATGGAAACAAACAAGTTTGCTCTTGCTACAACAACTGGAAAACTCAACAGGGTGGACCAAAATGCCCTTGAAAAAACTCCCAATCGGTTTTAACAGTATCGTTTCCTTTTTATAATAAAAGTTTTCGATGATAGTTATATTCCACTCTGATCAATTGTTGGTTTTGTGTTTCTTGTTCTATCTATTTTTGTTCCTAAATGTTGTAACGTTATGCCACTCCTTTGGGATTTTGTTCACAAATCCTTTAAAAATATGAGAGTGGCCTATGGATGAATGATATTTTCATAAATATTTTGTTTTTAAAATACACAATGACCGACATTTTCGGAAATAGAACGAAAGAAAGAGAGCATACGAATTAGGAAATGGTAGACGTACTTAACATGGACTTCTTAGCCTAATCCTTAAGGCCCATTATGGGTTAATAGAGCCTAATATTGAGAAGCCCATTATTGTTCTTTTGCACGCTGCCAAAATCACGTTGTCTACGCTGTTGAGTTTGTCGCTATCATCTCCATGACGAGGAAGCGAGCAGAGCGTACTTGATATTCTTTTTAAACAATCGCAATTGATTAGGATAACGATTGGTGCGTTCATATGAACAGTAAACTTACCAACTGTTTATCAGCGTTATGCTTTCATCACCACCCCACTATTAGAGAGAGAGGCCCAGATAAAAGTATCAAGCTCATTATTATGTCTAAGGCCGATGAGTATTACCCACGAGATATCATTAATACTGTTAGTTATAATTGATTGCGATATGTAATTGCTTTCAGTAGCATAATAAACATTTGGATATAAACAAAAACAAGAACCAATTTAAAACTAGCTCACGACATAACTGGTAGGGAACACGTGAAAGGAGGTTTTGATGTTGATGTTGTTGTGGTGCACACATATACTTAAATAACTAACCAAAGGGCAAAACTGTCGTAGGGACACATGAAATTATATGATCAATCGTGCTGAGGAACCTCGGCTGAGATGTCCGCCACCCGACTTCGAATCCCGGCCACCACATAATTTACATGCGGAGTTGGTGTGGCGCTCCAGACCACTTAGCGTAACCAGGGGCCCTTAAGTGGACGCTTAAAAATCCTGTCATGGCATGGGCTTAGGCCCGGTGGGCTAGTCGATCACGCTTTGTGGTCGGATACTGGGTTATCAAAAAAAAAAAAAAAAAAAAAAAAAAAAAAAAAAAAAAAGAAATTATATGATCAATCGTGCTGAGGAATAAGCATAAATATTCTAAGATATACTATAAACTGTTTTAATCCTCCTATTGGTATTTAATAACATTGCTTTCTTCATCCACCACGTCATTTTTACTTAAGTGTTTAGAGCCAGAAACATATCCATCACTCAATATCTCGTGTTGTTTTAAACTAAATAAAATTTTGACTTTTTAGTTTCAAACGTTAATCTTTTTATACACGGACAAGTATAAAAAAAAAAGTTCTACGCGTTTGCAAGATAAACATAAGAAATTATTTTCTACCACTCTCATATTTTCCTTGTTCCTATATAAGTAAAATACTCTTTATTAGTCAATCACAGTATCTGTATCGCACTACGTTATTTTATTCTGATTATGTTTTCGTCTAAGTGTTATCAATCGTTTTTTTGTTTTGTTTTGTAAACTTGTTAACAATCTTATTTTCATTTGACTGAACTATTAACAATTTCGTTTCTTGGTTAGCATACCAAACTCGTTTTGAATTTAACTTTATAATAATATGGTCCTCGTTTATACTCTACAGACGAGTGATTGGTGATAAAACATCAAACATGTTCAAGTAATTTGGTAAGTTTCCATCTAAAAAGAAAGTAATAAAAAAAATTGGGAAAGTATAAATTTTGAAAGAAATAATAGGAAGATAGGTAAGAGGTTGATTGAAAATAGCTGTAGGTGATTTTTTTTTGGTAGGAATAGCTGTAGGTGATTTGGATAATCATTTTCTCTTTCTAAAATTTTTTATAAAGCAATTATTGTTTAGATTTAAAAAATAAACCCAAAAAGTTTTTAAAAAGTATATATTAGTTCTCAAAATCAAATTTTCTATAACTTTTCTTTAGCACTTTGAAAATAAATATACAACCAAATAAATAAATACGTAGCAAGAAAACTCACATCATAAGGTTTGCAGCTGACTAGGTGAAATAAAAGCTAGCTGAACAATTTTAAATACGTAACGTGAGAAAAACATAAGGTTTGTAAATTTTACCGGGGGGACTTGACCCGTATCTTCATGGACCTGCTACTGATTATGAGAATCCCATATAAAAGTCGCGGTCAATGTATTGTGAAAAATAAACAAAATCTTCCACTTCTCACAAATATCTCGTATTGTAGTTATATTAATACTAATGTTTATTATTTAAAGCTAAAAACATTGTCAACCAATGAGTGCAAAGTGTACAACTAATGAAATATATTAGGCATAAACATCGGCTCTCCTATATATGTATTCCCTTTGAGTTTTTATTACTTGCAACTTCTCTATCTCCTACCTCTCTCGACCTCTTTCTCTTTGTTTGTCACGCCGTCATCAAAGAAGGAGAGTGTCGAAGATTAAACAAATGATGAACGAGAAGGAAGATATCATGTCAGAGCCATTCATCGTCAAGACGATTAATGATGAAGAGGCTACGCTTCGTGATTATGAAATCAACAATACTATTCCACAAGGCAATACCTCTTTCTCCAAGACTTGTTTCCATGGCATTAACGCTTTATCAGGTTTGATTTTTTACTTCTTTTGTAAATTTAATTTTCCCTTTTTGATTTGTTCAACACTTTTCATTCTTATCTCCAAGTTTCATAACTCACGGCCAAGGTTCCAACACTTAGCTTATCCAGTTATCCACATGTGTGGGATATATGGTCTGTTTTCTAATTGTTTTCATTATAGTCGTCACTTTTTTTTTTTTGATAATTTGATAGAAAAAACTAAATTTAGCTTACACCCCAGATGCTCTTATAACTCAGGCTTTTGACTTTATCTTGTATTTAGATTGCTGCATAGAAGATCAATCTTATCTTTTGTCTCATATTTTAAATTAATTAACTAACCTTATCATTCGAACCAAATATAATTCAATCCGAATTTTTTTTTCATCGTTAAAATTCAATTCTATAATTTTTGATAGTTATATAGGAAGAATAAACAAAATAGAAACCGTCTAAACAATTTGGCTGAGTTTTCAATGGAGTAGTGCATGTTATTTAGCGAAGTGTGGTTATGTGCCTATCAAAGGTTGATATCATAGTATGATTGTGTGTTTAATGCTTATAAGATCAAACTAGATTTTGGTGTTACACATGTTTAGCCGAACATTAACAAGCACATCTTCGCTATCTCTATCCATATATGACATATGCATACAGACAAAAAGACCAACAATTGATTACAAAGAAAGTAACGTGTCTGCCAATATCTAAATGCAACGTGTCCCTTAGCAAGCCTAACACACTAACAACACTTCTTCCATTTGTGTTCTTCCTCTACAAGTTTTTTAAATCCTATCATATCTTGATAACGATCTTATATATGTTCTTTGAGTGTGTATTCTACGTTTAAAATAAAAAAAATATAAAAGACAAACAATATTTTGACATATGAACACAAACAAAACAACATTTCATTTGCACTTTGAACAATCAGTTCTTTATTCAGCTTATTTTATATGGTCTTTGTTTTTTAGGTGTTGGTATATTATCAGTCCCATATGCATTAGCATCTGGAGGATGGCTAAGTTTGATCATACTCTTCACCATAGCTATCACTACATTCTACTGTGCCATTCTCATAAAGAGATGTATGGACATGGATCCACTTCTTAGAACTTACCCGGACATTGGCTACAAAGCCTTTGGAAACACAGGACGTGTCATTGTCTCCATCTTCATGAACCTCGAGCTTTACCTTGTGGCTACTAGTTTCTTGATCTTAGAAGGTGACAACCTTAACAAACTCTTCTCAAACGTTGGATTCAACTTCATGGATATAGAGTTTGGAGGCAAGCAAATGTTCATAGTCCTTGTAGCTCTTATTATTCTTCCCTCGGTTTGGTTAGACGATATGAGGATACTCTCTTATGTTTCCGCGAGTGGTGTCTTTGCTTCCGGGTTGATTCTTGCATCTATCTTTTGGGTTGGTGCATTTGATGGAGTAGGGTTCAAGAACAATGACTCAAAGATCTTTCGTATTAGTGGAGTCACTACTTCAGTGAGCTTATACGCGTTTTGTTACTGCGCTCATCCGGTTTTCCCAACATTATATACTTCCATGAAGAACAAACACCAATTCTCACACGTAAGTACTATTATATTTCGATTTTATCACGTATTTCCAATTTAAAACTAATTGATGATAGATCGACTGATCCAAAAATATTTAAATATTACTTATGTCGCTTTATATTCTCACACTACTATCAGAGTTTTTTTTTTATGGTTTGAAGCTTAAGCTATTGCATGACTTTTTTGTTGGTTTCATTTTGTAGGTTATGGTTATATGTTTCACAATATGCACATTCATATATGCATCGGTGGCGATATTGGGTTACTTAATGTATGGATCAAATGTTGATTCACAAATAACATTGAATCTTCCGACAGATAAGCTTAGTTCAAAAGTGGCGATATGTACTACATTAGTGAACCCGATTGCTAAGTTTGCACTGATGGTTACTCCTATTATCGACGCAATAAGAAGTCGGTTTATGCGTAACAAAAAAGGAGGTGGTGTAGTCGTTGGTACGATGTTGGTTGCTAGCAATGTGATTGTGGCGTTGCTTCTTCCGTTTTTTGGTGAACTGATGAGTTTGGTTGGAGCATTCTTGAGTGCAACTGCTTCGGTTATACTGCCTTGTTTGTGTTATCTAAAGATCTCTGGCAAATACAGACGGCTTGGGGTGGAGACACTGGTTCTCATTGGTATTGTACTCATCGGTATCGTGGTTGTGATAACCGGTACTTACAAGGCGGTCAAGGACATTTTTGTACGGTTTTGAAGTCTCAATAGGTGAAGTCTAGTTTCTTGTGTAGAAGAAAGATTTGTAATACCAATACCATACATATTATTCTTTAATGAAAAAAACAGCACTGAAAACTTTTTTTTAACATATAATCAAAGTGTATTCATCATCATCATCATCAATCATCATAACCTATTGCTCCTTGGTTTGTGATGATGAGAAATCCGTTACTATCAAAGCCTTTAATAGTAATGAAGCTTAGAGAAAGAGAAAAAGACTAAAAGAGCAAAACAATACCTTTATAATGTAACAAATAAGCTCAAATTCATTCTTAAAGCCCAATAATAAGCCCATTTTTGTAAACACTAGGCCTGTTAACGAGTAAGTGTATACGACGATGAAACGGTGTCGTTTTAATACTTCACTGATTTTTTACTCGACCTTCTTCTTCGTCTAAATCACACACACACACCTTCGTGCGTTGCGAAAACTCAGTTTCAGCAGATGATTAAGAAGAAGAAACGTCCATTACTTTCTCCAATCGCATGCTTACTCTTCTCCTCTCTAGATACTCTACTCGGCTTCGTTCACTTAACAAGGCTTCTCCTCTCTCACGCCGTTACTCTTCTACCTCGTCCTCTCCAAGAAAGTACGAATCTTTCTCACTGGATTCGTGGTCTCTTGGTGAGGCAACGAAGCAGATAAGCCGTGACCTCACAGCTTCTTCTCTAAAAGACTTGCTTTTGGATTTGTCCGATGCGGTTCCCGACATTACCCGTAGGTTTAGAAGATTCCACGGTCTGAAACCCGAACACGTGCTCGAATTGCTTCTGGGTTTCGAATCTGAGCTTCAGAGAGGTGGAAAGGTTCGAGCTTTATGGGAGGTTTTTAGATGGGCTAATGAGCAGTTCAAAGGGTTTAAGCATCATCCTCAGAGTTGTGAGATCATGGCAACGATGCTTATCAGGGAAGGAATGGTTAAGGAGGTTGAGTTGTTGCTTATGGAAATGGAGAAGGGTGGAGAGACATTGGTTAATGAGGTGGTTTTCTGTGATTTGATTCAGAGATATTTGGATGGTTTTGATACAAGGAAGGCGGTTATGTTGTTTGATTGGATGAGGAGGAAAGGTTTAGTGCCTTTAGCTTCGTGTTACCAGGGTTTGATTGATCATTTGGTTAGAGTTTACAGAACAGATGTAGGTTATCGAGTTTGTTTGGATTGGTTGGAGGCAAGGGATGAATCAGTTAACAACATGAATGTAGATAAGATTGGGAAAGTTGTTGAGTTGCTTTGCTTGGACCATAGGGTTCAGGAGGCTAGAGGTTTGGCGAGAAAGCTTGTGGATTTGGGGTGTTATCCGAGTAGTTTGATGTATAGTAAGATTTGTTTAGGATATAACGAGAAGCAGGACTTTGAGGATCTGTTGAGTTTTATCAGTGAGGTTAAGTATGAACCTGATGTGTTTGTTGGCAATAGGATTGTGCATTCTCTTTGTAGGAGGTTTGGCTCAGAGAGAGCTTATGTGTATATGGAGGAGCTTGAAAGCTTGGGTTTTAAACCTGATGAGGCTACATTCGGTATCTTGATTGGCTGGTGTTGTTACGAAGGAGATATCAAAAGAGCATTTCTTTATTTATCTGAGGTTACGTCAAAGGGGTTGAAACCTCATGTGTATAGCTATAATGCTATCTTAAGTGGGCTTTTTAGAAAAGGATTGTGGGAACATACGCGTTCTATTCTGGACGAGATGAAGGAGAATGGAGTGTTGCTCGGCTTGTCAACGTTTAAGATAATGGTAACTGGATACTGCAAAACTAGACGGTTTGAAGAAGCTAAGAAGATTGTTAACGAGATGTTTGGTTATGGTTTAATTGAAGCATCTAAAGTTGAAGATTCGCTAAAAGAAGCTTTTAGTTTAGTAGGATTTGATCCTTTAGCTGTTAGGTTGAAAAGGGACAATGGTTCTGGACTCTCCAAAGCAGAGTTCTTCGATGATCTTGGGAATGGGCTGTACTTAGACACTGATTTGGATGCTTATGAGCAGAGGGTGAATATGGTACTTGACAGGTCCGTCCTACCTGAATTTAATCTGCTTATCTTTGAAGCTTGTAATGACGGTGACTTACAAAGAGCTTTGAGTCTTCTTGATGAAATGCCTCGATGGGGTCAAAAGCTATCGCGTCGAGGCTTTACTGTCTTAATGAAGAGTCTCTGTGTATCGCGTCCACATGCTAGAGTAAGCGTTAGCTTAATGGGGAAATGGCCAAAGCTGGCTAATCAGTTAGATGGAGAAACCCTTAACTTTCTTGTCCAAGAATATTGCAAGAAGGGATTTAGTCGCCAAAGCAAACTCATTTTCCATAGAATGGCTCAAATGCATCTTCCTATCGATAACGCAACTTACACATCTTTGATAAGCTGTTTCTCTAAGAAAGAAACACTCAATGATCTTCTGAATGTGTGGGAAGCTGCGCAAAAGGCTGACTGGTTACCTGATTTAGTCAGTTGCGGAGTTCTATGGGAATGTCTTGTCCAGAAAGGACTGGTGAAAGAAGCGGTTAAACTCTTTGAACATATAATCATATCCTATCCTCTATCACAGTCAGAAGCATGTAGGATTTTCGTCGAGAAGCTCACAGTTCTTGGGTTTTCTCGTGTTGCTTACTCTGTTGTGGAAAGACTTGAAGGAGATGGTTACGTTGTGGAAGAAGAGGTTTACAACCATCTTATCAAGGGACTCTGTAAGGACAGGAATGATTCTGCTGCATTTGCATTACTCGATAAAATGCTAGACAAGAAGAAACACATTCCGAGCTTGGAAAGTTGTTTGATGTTAATTCCTCTACTTTGTGGATCTAACAAATCAGAGAAGGCATTTACTTTAGCAGAACAATTAGATTCATCTCTTGTCTACTCTGCTTTGGTAGAAGGACTATGCTTGGCTGGGAAGATGTTGGACGCAGAAAATCAGTTACGAATAATGTTATCAAATGGAGTTTTCCTAGATAACGACATCTACAGTTTGATGTTTCAAGGTTACTGTAAAGGTAACAACAACTTGACAAGAGTTGAGGAAGTACTAGCAATCTTGGTGAGGAAGAACGTAATCATTTCGGTGAAGAGTTACAGAGAATATCTACGGAGAATGTGTTCAGAGCGTCAGTTTCTCTCTGCATCTAGTCTGAAGGAGTATCTCTTGCTAGGAGAAAGCAATCCTGGTGGTGTAATCATTTACAATCTGCTGATTTTCTATCTGTTTCAAGCTAAGAATGCTATAGAGGTTAATAAAGTTCTGCTTGAAATGCAAGGAAGAGGATTGTTACCTGATGAAACCACGCTTAACTTTCTGGTATATGGATACTCCTCATGTGGAGACTATTTAAATTCTCTGCGGTATCTCAGGGCTATGATCTCCGAGGAGATGAAACCGAACAAACGAAGCTTAAGAGTGGTTATTAGTTCTCTGTGTGACAATGGAGAGGTGAAGAAAGCTCTGGACTTGTGGCAGGTAATGGAATCAAAAGCTTGGACTTTTGGTTCTTCTTCTGTTGTTCAAACCAAAATCGTTGAATCCCTGATTTCGAGAGGTGATATGGAAAATGCTGACGACTTTCTGAGCCGTGTGACACGCAATGGCATGGTGGCTTCCAACTACGACAATCTCATCAAGAAGCTATCTGGTCTTGGGAATCTCAACATTGCGGTTCACCTCTTGAACACAATGTTAAAGAACCGAAAGATTCCGTGTTCATCAAGCTATGATTCAGTCATTAACGGGTTGTTGAGATACAGCAACCAACTTGATAGAGCTACAGACTTTCATACAGAAATGCTGGAGCTAGGTCTAAGCCCAAGCATAAGTACATGGAGTGGTCTTGTTCATAAGTATTGCGAAGCATGTCAAGTTATGGAATCAGAAAAACTTATCAAATCAATGGTTGAGTTAGGTGGAACACCGAGTCAAGAGATGTTTAAGATTGTGATTGATCGGTTTCGAGTAGAGAACAACACAGTGAAAGCTTCAGAGATGATGGAAATGATGCAAAAGTTTGGCTATGAAGTTGATTTTGAGACTCATTGGTCTTTGATAAGTAACATGAGCTCTTGTAAGGATAAGAAGACAACTGAGCAGGGATTCTTGTCTAGGCTTCTCTCTGGAAATGGGTTTGCTTGGAAACGATGATTAATCTTTTTTATGAAAAACACTTTTTTTTGTAAAATATTTTCTTAAAGATTTGTTTCCGAATATTTAGCAAAATTGTTAACCCACTAGCAGTATAGTTCTGGCTTTGGTCAAACAAGCTTTCATCTTTTCACTCACCTGTATATCTTATGTACAACCTGAAAAAGCTTCAGCAACTACCAAAACCAAGCTAGAAGTGTTAAACCTTTTCAGTTATGTTTCAGAATGAGCATAATGCAGAGTAGTGTCTTCTCACATGGCATGAATTAATGTAATTTAATAGGCATGACTTCTTGATTTTTGCAATTGTCTGATCAAGTACACACTAATTGCAGGAGAATTGTAGCATTCAAATGTGGGAAGCCGTGGATGGACATAAAACCAACAAGTGGCATCATTTATGAAGGGCAATATTGAAATTGAAGTAATGTTAGGACCATACAGAGTGGCAATATGGAGTCAGCATGTCATTTATAAAGGTTTGTCCCCATTGTCCTTTACATCATTTGTAGCTATTATACATTTTCTTTTGATCCATGCAGCTTTCATATTCACGTTTATTCATTTTCCTTTTTTATTTTAATTATAAAACTGATTTCTTTTTGTTCTTATTTGTGCAAATCTTTATGGTTTTGTCTTCTCTGATTCGATGAAGATACGTCTTATACCCCACAAGTTGGGATACCACCTCAATAAATACAAACTTTATTGTCTTACACATCAAGCTACTCTTCTTTGTTTGGTCTTGTAAAAATCTCTTTAATGTCACCGTTTGCTTTCATAAATCATCTACCTTTCTTGGCAGCAAACTTTACCTTGCTGATTATTACATTTGTACACCTGCAAGGTTAGAGAGTCTCACTTAACTTCTTGTGGGAAGATATAACCAAGATCATCATTGTATATGATAGAGGAAGGATTATATAGAACTTTCCTAAAAAACTATTGTTGCTTGTGAGTTCCATTGTAGTCATAATGTTTCTATTCGTTTGTTTACACATGATAGAAATTTTACCATTTTCAGAGAAATGAAACAATAGAGTAAAGAAGAAAGTCTTTGCATCTTACTAAGTTCTCTCCTACTTTATGATCTATCTCATTGATATACTGTTGTGGTCAGTTTCTTATTAGTCACTGCCTTTTTAACAGCATTTACTATCTACTCTTTTTAGTAAAGGTGACTGAAAGAACAAATAATAGTGTTGAAAAGAAACCGATGATTTAGTGTTACTTGATACATAGAGAGAATGAGAAAGTTTACTAGTAATGATGAGGGCTAATTTTTGGTAAGATTATCAAAGTGATGAGGGATAATTTTGGATTGATAGTAGCTAGTGACCAGAATTTACTTGTATCACAGGAAATAACCGCTTTAAACTTATGATATAAAGAAGTCACAGTGGCAGGTAATAAAAGATCACCTCTTTTGCTGTTGTGTGTGTTCTCTCTCTCTGAGTTATTTAGAGAGGGGGACTTGTTTCTCCAGGTCTTAAAAGCCACAAAAGGTAATAACTTCTGGAGACCCCATTGTTAATAAATGCTCTCATCCATGTGAGAGAGCCGGGAAAAAAGGGGATACATTTCATTTTCTTGTTGTGTGTCTTTCTCTCTATCGCTCTATATATGCTTCACTTGTAACATTCCTACAACTGTAGCCAAAAAGACCATTCCTTTGTTGCTCTGATGAATGAGATAATCTCTTATTAGCTTCTTCTTGGTTCTGTAATAAGATTAGAGAGAAAAAATGGGAAGATCACCATGCTGTGACAAGATGGGTTTGAAGAAAGGACCATGGACATCAGAAGAAGATGAGAAACTTTTGGCTTATATTGAAGAACATGGACATGGAAGTTGGCGTTCACTGCCTGAGAAAGCTGGTAAAAATGAATCTCTCTCTCTTTATCATTCTCTTTATACTCTCTAAACACTTTCTTAACATCCTTCTTCTCAATCTCTCTCAGGTCTCCAGCGATGTGGCAAAAGTTGCAGACTCAGATGGACAAACTACCTAAGACCAGACATCAAAAGAGGCAAATTCAACTTGCAAGAAGAACAAACCATTATTCAACTCCACGCTCTCTTAGGAAACAGGTCTGCAAACAAACACAACTCTGCTTCCTTCTTACTAAAAGTCTTTTGCCTTTTGTCTAAAACTTTTGTTGTTGTTGTTGTTGTTATCATACTAAGGTGGTCAGCTATAGCAACTCATTTGCCAAAGAGAACAGACAACGAGATCAAAAACTATTGGAACACACACTTGAAGAAACGGTTAGTGAAAATGGGAATAGACCCAATAACTCATAAACCCAAAAACGAGACTCCTCTGTCTTCTTCTCTCGGTGGTTTATCAAAGAACGCAGCAACACTAAGCCACATGGCTCAATGGGAAAGTGCTCGTCTTGAAGCTGAAGCAAGGCTAGCTAGAGAATCAAAGCTTCTTCATTACCAAACCAATCATCTAAACATCATCTCATCATCTTCAGGTTTAAACAACAAAACCACTTTTGTCTAAAACGTCAAAGGTTGAAACTTTCTTTTGATTTTTTTTTTGTATTCTTTTAGTAGGAAATGAAGAATCTCCGACATCTACAGTTTCATTCTCTGAGATGAAGGAATTGTCGAATGCGAAGACAGAGTTTGTCGGATCATCATCATCATTAACGTGTCTGAATATCATCAAAGAAGATGAAAACGATTGGATCAGTTCGACGATTAACGAGTTCCATGGAGTTGAGGAAGAAGGGCTCACGGGTCTCTTGCTAGGTGGTGATTCGCTAAGTCGGAGTTTCTCCGCCGATAAAAACGAGACCGCTGGCGAGAGCTATTTGGACAGCATTTTCAGCTTTGTTGATCCTTCGCCGTCAGATTCAACTCCTCTGTTCTGATATCAAAGGGTTGATATCTCTCTCTCGGAGAATGTTTTTGTATTCTTTTAGTTTCTACTTTAATTTTTTTTTTTTTTTCGTTCTTGTGTAAATTTGAGACTTTAAAATTCAAATTTTTTACAGTTTTATTTTCCTTACATTACTGTTTATTACTACTACTACTACTACTATAACTAAACCCAATATCACTGGAGAAACAATATGTTGCGGTTGTTTATTACTCCCTCGGTTCTGAAAAAATGTTCAAAAAATACATTTTATATTTTTTAAAAATACAGTTTATATTTTATCTTCTGAAGAGATTTATGTTAAAAAAAAAATGTTTCAAAAATACATTTTATATTTTTGAAAGGTAATAATTAATGATGGACTAGAAACTAGATTTAACATATGTTAACAATTTTCTTTTCGGTAAAATTTATTATATAAATTACGAATGTTTAATCTATTTAAAAGGTAAGGATATTTTAGTCACTTAAATGTTGGATAATATTTTAATTATTTATTTAAATGATTTTTTCATAATATATTAGTTTACCAATTGAATATAATTTTATATGTAATTCATTTATTACTTATATTTTAATATAACATAGACTATACTTAATTTTTTTTATAAATTAGCATATCATTTATTAGATTTTGTTTCTAAGAATTTTTTTAGTTAAGATTAATGTATAATAATATTATACTACTAATTACGAAATTAATTAGTGCAAAAGTTAAAGAAATATGTAAATTTTAAAAAATATTTTGTTAGATTTTTCTCAACAGATTTTGTGATTACTAAAATAAAGTTTTAAAATTACGGATAAAATAGATTTGTTATTAATAAGTTAAAGTAAATAATCAAAATAATATAACTGAATATATGGATCTAGTATAACCATTCTATAGTACATAGAAATAGTATTTTTCTTTTAATAGAGAAGATTGTAAATTTAAAGACATAATCGTGAGTGTTAATTTTTTTGGTTAAAAGTTATGCGGCATAGATAATTACAAAATAATATATTAGTAATTAAAATGTATATATATATTTCTTTGAATGTGTGAAAATTGTAAAATACATTTGTTTTTGAAACAAAGAGGCTTCTAGGCAAAATATGAAAGGTTTAGTTATGTTAATGTTGGCGTGATAAAACAACAAGTCGACAAGTCAATTACTACAGTATATGATAAAATTAAATGGTGGTTGTTTCATGTCATTTTCTGCCTTTGTTTTTGCACATCTCGGATCCCAATTTTTCATTTTCCAATTAGATGTAAGAAACACCAAAGCCGAAAAAGACCAAACCAATTTATAATAGAATGGAATCATAAATATGATCGTGTTCATGATTGGATTCTATTTATTTGGATAGGACCCCATATAGATGGACCCAAAAATATCCCAAAAATCAAAGTTTCTGAAAGATATTAATTATTGCATTGTCACTGAATTGAAATTAATAATTCTAGATATATTTTCTTTATAGAAAACGAAATTGCAACATTATAATTTTTTTAAAAAACTGATTTGATTATCTATATCATCAAATGCATTAATTTTTCGGAAACATATCTACAGAGAATTCCAAAATTAAATGTGCATGAACTGAAGTAGTTATATTATTGGTGTAATTTATTGAAAAGTGATTTGTAATATTAGGGTCACTAAACAAGAATTTTAAACTTCTGAAATGTACTATCTGTCTAATGGGATTGAGCTCACATGTGAAGTGAGCGGACATTGATAGCCCATTAACCTAGACGGTCGAAGCGTTACAGAAATATGGATATTTACAAAACTACTGTTTATGTATATTTTATAGAATTAAATCTTATCTAATACTTCTATTTTTTAAAAATAAGTAGTTTTGATTAAAAACATCAATATTAAAAAGGTGTTACTTTTATAAAAAGTATATTTAATGTATAAGTTCAACCAATCATAAAACATGTATTTTTGGTTACACAATATTCAACAAATCCAAAATTATATTGAAATGTGAAACGACTTATATTTTAATACAAACTTTTTTTCTTTAAAAGAAACAGGGGAAGTAAAATTATTGTGAAAATATTTATTTAATAGTTGGTTATTAAAAATTTTGAAGTTTGAATTTCACAAATTTTAGTTTATTATCATTTATTAATAAACAAATAATATCAAAATTTTAACATAGTTCAATATAGATCTGTTATCATAATAAAAAAATATTTGTTGTAACTAAAATCTTGATATAACAATATTCATAGTTTAGAATAAAATATTAAATTATTATAAAAATTATTTAACAAGTTAATGCTACCCAAAATCTAATACTTACGTAATAGCTCCTAGTACTTACCACTTGATTTAGCTAGTACTAGTATCGATCCCATGCTTCTTCAGTTCTTTGTAAATCTAATCTATTTACTATGGACCTCAACATCGGATTAATGGTGTAAAAATCAGCCGTAAAGAATGATGGAAGGTACATGTGAATCTCTCTAACACATCCACTACGGCCTCAAGCAATTACTAATAATAATTCAATGACCACTACTTTCAGTGATCACATATTCATGTTCCAATATTGCTACTCTATTCTTTCTATATTATACTCCAATGGAAATTCTTAAAATACTCGTGGACACGTTTTTGTTTCTTTAATCATACCTAAATCTAAAGGATTCTACGTAAAATTTTGGTGGAAGCAAGTGAGATTTTTTTCCCAAGAAAATCTAACAAAAGTAGAGAGACAAAAGAAGCAAATAAAGTTTATAGTGGACATATTGGATGAGTGTGAATGATTGCTACAAAAGTGATGTTATAAACACCTAATACATACCTTTAAGTTGCCAATAAACGTATACAATTTATTTATTAGTCCGACCAATCTTCTTATAAACCTGAGATATAGTGTTAATCTTACCAACAGAACTAAAAAAAACCACAAGTAATTTGTATGTGTGTGTTTTGAGAATATATAAATGGTGTTACATCGTTCCATCTCCCTAGTATTACTACCATCTAATCTTCAACCTTCGTGTTTAACCGGATATGGCAGAGGTTCATCGTTCATTTTGAGGTTCCCACCTAACTCAGCTCTTCAACTGAGCACTAAGGCTCGCGGAAACTGCAACAACGTCAGTGTGGCTCAGACCCTCGTGGCTAAGTGGTCCAACAACAATCCGGGGTCTGGTTTGACCTCTGTTCCTGCTGTAACGTCCGTGGATGAGGAGGTTTTGGTTGCTGCTGATGAATCGGTTAAAGAGATGGTATCAGAGGATGTGACACATATGAAACCTTCATTCTTGAAATCAAATGGGAGCTTAACTGTTCATGCTGGTACACCACTTAAAGTTCCTTTTATTTTCCTAGCAATCATCACTTCTTTTTTAGCTGGTGCATTCATTAGAAACTATTCAATGGAGATATAGGAGAAGTGATGATGTTTCTTTTTAAATGGTTTTATGATTTGATTTCAGGTGAAAGATTAGGTCGTGGCATAATCACGGATGCGATCACAACTCCTGTAGTCAACACATCTGCCTTTATTTTCAAGAAAACTGCTGACGTTCTTGACTTCAAGGTTGCACTTTTTTTTATATGACAAGGCCTGTTTCTATTTTATTGTCTTAATCAATCATTTAAACTTAACTTTTCTTTTCTTTTTTTTCTATGCAGGAGAAAAGAGTTGTTCGTCATGAGTATGGTCGTTATGGAAACCCAACTACACTAGTACTTGAAAAGAAGATTAGGTCTCTATGTCTCTTCATGTTCTTTGCTATAATACCTTTCTTTAATTATGTTTAGTAGATTAATCTTTTTTTTTTTGGGAATATGGAGCAGTGCACTTGAAGGTGCTGAATCAACTTTGGTTATGGCATCTGGGATGTGTGCAAGTACTGTTATGCTTTTGGCTTTGGTACCAAGAAATGGACATGTTGTGACAACTACAGATTGTTATAGGAAGACAAGGATTTTCATGGAGACTTTTCTTCCTAAGTTGGGAATCACTGTACACAACTACACTTAAAAAAAAAAACTTTTCATTACTGTCTTTTGTTTGCTTCCAGTTATATATCTTTATACCCTCTTGTATATTTGTCTTAGGTGACTGTAATTGATCCTGTTGACACCACAAGGCTTGAAGCTGTGGTGAATAACCAGAAGGTTTATTTATTCATTCTCTTCAACATATGTTTTTTTTAAACATTTTTTTTGTTTTTTCTTCAATTCTTTTCAAAGGTGTCTGCAGGTTGACATGTTCTTTACTGAGTCCCCAACAAACCCGTTCCTTAGATGTGTGGACATTAAGTTAGTTTCAGAAATCTGTCACAAAAGAGGAACACTTGTTTGTATAGATGGTACATTAGCAACACCTCTGAACCAGAAAGCACTTGCTCTTGGTGTTGATCTCGTTGTCCACTCTGCTACAAAGTACATTGGAGGCCACAACGATGTAAGTAAAAACACCAAAGCCTCAGTGAACAGAGAAGAAATCATAAACTATGTGTGTGTGTTTCCATGTCACACAGGTTCTTGGTGGATGCGTTTGTGGTTCGATGGAATTGGTATCCGAGATCCGAAACTTGCATCATGTTTTGGGAGGCACACTTAACCCGGTAACACAAAAAGAAATGCAAAATGCTTAAAGTCTATTACATAAGTCTGGTCCAACTCCAGCTTCACTTAGTATGAGTCATTTTTTTGGGGGAGCAATCAAACAAAAAACATATATGTAAGGGTTTCCTTTGCACCAAGATTTTATTAACCTTTTGAGTACTTTTTTGTCTTTGCAAAAAAAAAAACACAGAACGCTGCGTATTTACTTATACGAGGCATCAAGACTATGGATCTACGTTTAAAGCAACAGAACTCAACCGCTTTGAGGATGGCACAAGTCTTAGAAGCACATCCCAAGGTTCTATACTTTTTTCACCAAAGAATCTATTATTTTCTTCAATATAGTTTTTTTTTTTTTGGGTATGTGACATGGGAGTGGTGGTGTTAGGTGAGTCGTGTTTACTATCCAGGCCTTACAAGTCATCCCGAACATCACATAGCCAAGAGACAAATGACTGGTTTTGGTGGTGTGGTCAGTTTCGAGGTAAAATAGACTACTACTTTAAAAATACATCGTTTATTAAAATGATCCAAGTAGTAAACCCATTCTAGAAACTTGACCCCCTTTTTTTTAATCTGCATATAGATCGCTGGAGATCTCGAGACTACAATAAAGTTCGTTGATTCTCTGAAGATACCTTATATTGCACCATCCTTTGGTGGCTGCGAAAGCATCGTGGACCAACCTGCCATAATGTCATACTGGTATATATGATTGATTATACTTTTAATACATTAGTAAAAATGTGATGGTTACAAATGCTTTGGGATATTATTTTAGGGATCTACCACAAGAGGAGAGGCTTAAATATAGAATCAAAGACAACTTGGTTCGCTTTAGTTTTGGTATTGAAGACTATGATGACGTCGAGGCTGACGTTCTTCAGGCTCTTCGTACCATCTGAATCAAACGTAAACAACCACAACGAAACACTCTGCTTTCTTCTTTCCCTCCAACTTCCTCTGCTTTTCATGTCATGTAAGGTTTTAATGGGCCTTAACCGGGCTTTTTAAGTCACCATTTCTTTAACATGACATTAAATCAAATGGCACAATAAGTAACGAAAGCCCCCACGCAAGTAATAAAAGTGTGTTACTGATAATCTACTAATGTTTGCATCTAATCGATTAACATATCACTGCTAGTAGTCTGTATCCTCTCCTTGTTGCTGCTGCCATCTTCTCCACTTGCCCGTTGCTTCTTAGACTGATGCGACTTCACAAACTCATCGATTCTCGCTTTCAACTCCACGTTTGGTATCAACATTTCCGATGTCAAATGTGCCCGGTTAAACGGATCATGCTGCATCACAAACCAAAACATGATCAGATACAACCCTTAATATAATAACTATGGATATTTAAAAAAAGGTATATAGTCAATGTGTACGGTTTGCTTACATTGTCACTAAGAAGATGACGTTGAATGATGGCTCGATCAACTGTGGTTTTTGAGCTTGGAAGTATCACTGGATCTCTCATTAACGTGCACTGCAAAAAGGAACAAGAACACATACATTAGGTTCTGTTACTGAAACAGGATTTAGTTGTGTCAAATACGATAGAATATACCTGAATTGGGTCGAGGAACTCCTCTGGTATTTCACCAAGTGCAGCTTCAGCATCCATAGCTTCGGAAGCAGCAGCTTTAGCCTTTGTGCCCAACTCGATAAACTCTTGAATAATTCTTCCATCTTCGCATATTCTCCTAAGCACATCTGCTCCTGCGTCGAACAGCTGCAAAAACAAACACTTGTTTTGTTCAGTAGAGAGAGAAAGAGACCAAAGGCCAAAGCTGTTTAGGAGGAGGATTCGACCTGTTCGTTATATGATCGTCCATCACTGGATATGGCACCGGGGAATATGTTTTCCGTGTCTCCTCTTGCGAGATTAACATATATACGAACAATCTTCAAAGTTCACCAAAAGGTTCCGTCAGTATTTTTTGTAACACGTATTGGTGGGGAGGCTGAGGAAGAATAGTAATCACTAACCTGTTTAAGCAACTGTCGTGGACGGAATTCGTACTTCTCAGGATCTTTCAAGCTTAAAGACTTGCGTTGTGGACCCACTAGTTGTAGTAAGAAGTAATTAAGCATATTCGCAACCCTCTCGACCATCTCAGGGAGTAGAAAAGGGGCTGTGATCTCCTCAGATGTAAATGCAAGCATAGTCACATCTTCATTAGCCAGCTTCATGTCTATTCTAACAATCTGCACATAAAAAATAAAATTCTTTTGAGAGATCTTGAAGTTGAGTCGAAAACAAAAGATATAAGAAAGGTAATCCCACTAACATTCTCCTGAGAATGAAATAGTCTCGTTCGATCCTGCCTCTCTTGCGCTGGTCTCTGCTCCCACTCTGTAGTATTCGACATATCTGCCTCGATTTGTTTAATCTCAAGAATTTTGTTGAGACTTTCATCCAGAAGATAGATGCTATCATTGACTAAGAAGTTTAAGAAGTTCAAATACACGCCCTTCTCTTCTTCTCTTGCAATCTGTAACCCATCAAATTTAATAACACTACAAACATTGGCACATGATGGTGGAACTTCAAAGCCAATGGTAAGGTCACTAAGAATTTACCCTTCTCCACGCATTTCGGTGACTAGGCACCTGCCAAAGATACTCTAGAAGCTCGGCAATGTTGTGTCGAATGTTGAACTTGTCATAGAACTGCATATGGATCACTCAATTTTAGTCACATTAAAAGCAAGAGTGAATGGCAGGCAATTAAGGCTTCCAAAGTTAATACTATAGCCACTAAACAAAATTTCTAACAATCACCTGAGTGTGAGAACCCGTGAATTCAATGTCAACATATAGTTTCAGTAAATTCCTGACAAGATACTCGAGCGATAACTGATGGCCTTCGAAGAGAGTAGATGTAGCAGAAGAACCACTACAAACAAAAGTTGATTGATGATTAGTGGACCACATTAATGCGATGCTCACTAGCAACACAAATTGAGGATTTTACAGCTTTTTTCCATGGGAAGGAAAATACCTTGAACGGGGCATCCAGCAGTTTAGAACTTCAACCATCTTTGCTCTTAGATACGGGTTTCTAACATATTCTGGACTTGCCATGAACATTATTATGAAGTTCATAAAGTCGTCCTTAAGAAAAAAAGAGCAACCATCATCACTGCAGGTACAAAAGCCAATTTCTACAAAAAGATGAGATCAGACTAAGCATACCAGCTGCACCCCATCCAAAGCTCTGGGGATTCTTGAAGCAAATATCAGTAACTCCATTGCGTCTTCAACAAAATGCTCAGGCATACAGGAGAATTCCATGGGGCAAGTTGAAGGTAAAGGCATCTTAAAGCCACCAACAAGTCCAACTAACCAAACAACCACTAATCGATAGAAAGAGAGGGCTCGCTGAATAAAATCTCCATCCTTCAAAACAGTACAAAGATAAAATAGCTATTACTAACATATCCTCGGTCCAGAGAAAACGGAAAAGATGTTATCAGAGCAGAGAGTGTAATTACAAACCCTTAATAGTTGAGCCTCGTGACAAAGCTTGTCCTGCGAATAGAGCTCTAGTTCTTTTTCCATTCTGGTTATGTCAAGTTCTAACTGTGGAGAAGGTGACTGATCTCTCATGGCTTTTAGTGTTGCAAGATTGTCTTCACCTCTCGAGATGTCCTACGTCATAAGAAAAAAGAGAGAAAAGTAAAGAACAATACAACAACTATCTTCTGCATCCAGACATCAATGACTCTTTCACAATCTAAACGTGGTTAAGTTCATATCTTCGCTGCAATGCCTTCTTAGAATTACTGATAAATGCTTTGTCCAGATCATATGTCGGCAACCAAGGTTAAATCAAGATAATTTATCATAATCATTTCTCCGTACTATTTCAAGTTCGGGAAATAAAAAATGATGATTACCTGCGCAAGATGTTTAAAGTCCGAGAGTGCTTTTAGGAGACCCAAATTGAGGACCCTTGCAGTCATAAAGAAGCATTCAGAAATGAAAGTGTATTTAGTTGTTGACTTTGCATTTTGCCCAGAAGTATTACTACTTGAACTTGTCGCTTCTTTCGATTGTAACAAGCGACTTTCGTTACCGTTTCCAGCGCCAGTTGCTTTTGCCGTATTATCCTTGTTAATCCACTCAGAAACTTCCTCGGATGATGCATGAAGAGCAGTCAAGTCGCTGTTGTAGATCATTAAAAAATATTATCACGCATCATGAATATATAGACTCCAGTAAGGAGATACCCTTAGAATTCATTTGAGGCCCATACCTTAATTTCAAGCGATGTCCATAGAACACATATTTTGGATCAATCTTATCTCTTTTAGTTAAATGCGGGTCCAAAAACGGTTCACAGAGCCGAAGCATGACCGCACTGAGGTTACAGAACATGCCTGAGCTAGCACAAGAAACTGGATCAACCTGTCATACAAGATACACATGTTAGTATATTACAGAATGCCGGATAGAGCAGAAATTACAAATACCAACTTGCCAAAACCGCGAGGAGGCAAATAATAAGGCATGAATAAAAATCTAAAGCAAATATCCATCTTATTGAGTGATGATCACCTGTATATGACCTCTCGACGCATTAGCATTGATCACCTCAGCAAGAAACTGTAGAACACACTCACGTGTATCGGTACTTTTAAGTAAAATCATCAGTACATCATGCAGCCCACTGTACAAAATATTCATAAAGTTTTTGATTGTAGAGAAGGATGATAATAAATCTGCAGGACGACGTTCTGATGCTTCAGAGAAACACTGCTGCCTGACATTCACAAAAACAAGACATATATTAGCATCACCCTACCAGGTTAAAAATATTTTCTGAAGCGTATCAGGAGAACCTTTCCTTTGCACAATTTATCCTTGACAATTGTCTTTTTTTTTTGTTCAATCCTTGAAAATTGTCAACGTTCAATAAAACAGTACAGATTCTTCAGTACATACAAGAACAAATTCCTCATAAAATAACTTCATCCATAGTAATCTAAACCTAACAGAGAGCTAACTATTATTTCTGCAACTATGCTGGATTTGTCTAATCAGTAATCAATGCTTAAAATGACACCACCTAAAAGTGTACTCTTATCTGTTACTTTCCTTTTCTGATCAAGCCTACACTTTAAGTAGAGCTAAACGACACTTGCTTTGTCCTAAAATTACAAAATTCCTCAAAGTCTCAGCAATAGAAACCCATAGATAAGTTGGGGAACTCACCCAACATCAGGCTGACTCTTGAACAAAGTGTTATCCGGCAGTGCACTAATATGAAAAAAAGGACCAAGAATGCTCGTCAACTCCATAGCTCGACCATTCATATACGCCCCACGCGGAATCCACCACTCATGACTAACCAAAGACTTAGCTCCAACAGGTAAACTAACAAGATACTTAAGCGCCCTCAACGGCGGCTGAAAATCACCAAGAACCGACACGTTAACAACCTTAGACCTCAAATCCTCATAGACCTCCTTGAGAATCAAATCCAAGCTATCAAAATCCGCGTCCTTAAAAAACTCCTCCAAAAAACCAGGAGGAGACTCAACACTACTACTACTCCCACCAAACATATCCAACGAACCAGAACCAACCTCTGAGAAAATCAACGGAAGCAACGGAGAAACACTCCTCTTCTTCAATCCACCACTTGGCTTCTCCTTATCCACGTTCCCAAACATGTCAGGATTCGCTAAGTGAATCCTACAGTAAGAGACAGCGAGCTTCTTAGCTTCCCTCGTCACAATCTCCATCTCCGATCTGAGATTCTGATCCTTCATCGACTGGATCTTCCTCGACTCCTCGTAGGCGCGGCGGTAGCATCCCACGAGGTAAGGGAAAGGCGCTTCGGCGGCGGGGAAGTCGCCGGAGAGGCGATCGATGAGAACTCTCTCCATCAAATCGCGGGAGAGGAGGAGGAGGTCTTTGCCTTCGCTGAGAATCTCGGCGGCTGTCATCTCCAAGTAGACGAGACGAGGATCGGAACCGGTGGATTCCGTTAGGGTTACGTGGAATATCTTGCGGAGGATTATGTCCTCGATTTCCGCCGGCGATCTTTGAGGCTTGCTCGTCGTCGCCATCATCAACGAACGCTAAACTCTGGAAACAGTTTTGGGAACTAATCAATTTGATGTTAAAATTTGAATTTAAAAGTATGTAATTAAAATAATTCATGAAGCCATTCGCTGAGAAATAGGAAGAAACTTCTGGAGAGAGTCTGAGGAGGAAGGTGGGAGACAAACCTCAAATGACACGATACTCGATTTATGTGTCGGAAACTCGGACTATGTCGTTTGGTTTTTATATATATCAAACATATTTGGGCTTTGGGCCCTCGGTCCGATTATGTTTTGAGTGAAGATAATAGATTATTAATTTGTCGATATACTAATAACAGAACTAAAAACATAATTTGAAACTAGAAAATTATATTATTGTATAAAAGTTTTTAATGAATAATAATTTATAGAATATTAATTTAAATAGGTAATATTGTACTTGCAACAATTATTCAGAGTAATACTCCTTTCGTTTGGAGATTTCTTTTGTTTAAAATTACATCTAGTTTTTGTTTTTCAATCTTAAATTTATTAGGTTTTACGCATTATGAATTTTCTATTCTACTGATTATTTTTATTGGTAGAAATATGATCAATTTGATAATTAATGATATTTTGTATAAAAATATACAAAATTAAGTATTTTTATTATCTATGATTATTTTAGATGGTCTAGTGGGGTCGATGTATTTTGATAATAAAATTGTCTAATACATTTTAGGTAGAATCTTAGGGAAAAGAAAATATTCAAGAATTTAAAAAATAGTTACATTAGGAAAGCCTCCTTCCACCACAGTGTAGAACCGATGTACTACTCTATGTTAGTGATCCGTGTGAGCATCTTGATCAAGGAGAAGAAGGTGATGTGGGTTTGTTCCGTGGGATTATCAAGTCGTTTCCGACATCTAAAGTTAGGAGAGTTATTATTAACAAGGGTGTTCCTTTTCATCCATCTGAGGTTTGTCCGTATTGTAAAGCTAGAGTATGGAGTATGCTCCAAGCTAAGATAATACCTCAAGGTGCATGCTTTCGTATGGAAGCTTATGAAGATTGAATTGAGTATTTTGTTTCCCTTAATGGTCATTTGATTGGTATCTGCACTCTTGTGTCATTGACTGATTCAGAAAATGGACCTTCTCCTCAAAAATGACTGACCAATTCGAATCAAATGTAACATTTGATGTGTGAAACATCTGTAAATCTCTTGGTAATTTGTGTAATTCTACTGCTTGAAAGATTCATTCATTTACAGCCAAGTTATGATCAAGAATTTCCATGTACCATATGCTTTATATAACTCACATTGATATAAATGTTAAACATTGTGTTATGTCACAAGTGACTACTAAAAGGTCTGAAACTTCTTGTGTCGTTTTTCAATTACTCTGTTTTGAGAAAGCTTCTTCATCTTCTTTTCCAGCATCATCTGCTGTTTCTGACTCAATCTTTTTGAAAATGAGCTTTTGCTGAGGTAACTGACCATTGGAGAACGCTGTGACCTCTGTATCAATCAAAATGCCATCTTCTTCCTTGAAATCTCCTCTCAAGATACCTTTAGCGAGCTCGTTCTCAATGTTTTGCTGTATCACACGCTTGACAGGTCTAGCTCCATAGTTAGGATCATAGCCAAGGCTTCCAAGAAGATCCACTGCTGCATCTGTGATCTCTATCTTCATTTTCCTGTCTACAATCCGCTTCTGCACCCGAGCAAGCTGTAGTATACACACAAAAAAAGTGATTCAATGAGACATTTTACAACAAGCATGTGTTGCCTTAGAACAAGAAAAAGCGTTACCTGTAACCGGACAATGCTGTTGATCTGGTCACGGTCAAGAGGTTGGAAAACTATATACTCATCAACCCTATTCATAAACTCAGGACGAAAGATTGACCTTGCAGCATCCATCACTCTCTGTTTAATCGTTTCATAAGCTAGCTCATTTGCATCATCATCCGTATTGTTCAAGATAAACTGCGAGCCAACGTTCGAGGTCATAATAATAACCGTATTGGTGAAACTCACTGTACGTCCCTGAGAATCAGTAACTCTCCCATCGTCCAAGATTTGGAGAAACACATTGAACACATCTCCATGAGCCTTCTCAATCTCGTCAAAGAGAATCACCGAGTAAGGCCTTCTCCTAACTGTTTCCGTTAACTGCCCACCTTCTTCGTAACCCACATATCCAGGTGGAGCTCCAATGAGTCTAGACACAGCGTGTTTCTCCATGTACTCACTCATGTCGATTCTCACCAAAGCTTCCTCTGTGTTGAAGAGATAAGAGGCAAGTGCTTTAGCTAGCTCGGTTTTACCAACACCTGTTGGTCCCATGAACATGAAGCTGGCTATTGGACGGCCTGGATCAGAGAGACCAGCTCTTGATCGTTGGATCGCTTCAGCTACTGCAGTCACTGCTGGATTCTGACCAACTACACGTTTATGCAGTTCCTCTTCCAAGTGTAGAAGCTTATCTCTCTCGGATTGTTGAAGCTTAGAGACAGGGATACCAGTCCATTTACTCACAATCTCAGCTATGTCACTACCTAACACCTCTTCTCTAAACATGGACTTCCCAGAGCTTAGGTACTCGTTAAGCTCTTTCTCAGCTTCGTTTAGCTGTCTTTGCAACGAGTTTAAGCTTCCGTATTTGAGCTCTGCTGCACGGTTTAGATCGTACTCACGCTCCGCTTGCTGGATCTCGAGGTTTACTCTATCAATCTCCTCTTTGATGGACTGGAGACGGGACATAACGGATCTCTCGTGTTCCCACTGTTCTGTTAACTCACCTTGCTTCTCCTTTAGTGACATTAACTCTGTTTCGATTCGGCTCAGCCTTTCTCTTGAAGCTTTGTCTGTATCGTTAGTTAGTGAAAGCCTCTCCATCTCAAGCTTTATCACTGCACGGTCAAGCTCGTCAAGAGCTGTGGGTTTTGAAGTGATTTCCATCTTCAGTTTTGCCGCTGCTTCATCAACCAAATCAATAGCTGAAAAAAAAAAACAAATTAAGTTAGCAACACTGAAGACATGATTAGCAACAAAAGTAATTATCTACCTTTGTCAGGGAGGAACCGGCCACTGATATAACGGTCAGAGAGAATAGCAGCTTCCACTAGAGCACTGTCAGAGATGCGAACTCCGTGATGAAGTTCATACCTTTCTCTCAAACCACGGAGGATTGAAACCGTGTCTTCAACGGTAGGTTGATCGACATAAACCTGTTGAAACCTACGTTCTAAGGCTGGATCTTTCTCTATGTACTTCCTGTATTCATCAAGCGTCGTTGCACCGATACATCTTAGCTCGCCTCGACCAAGCATCGGTTTCAGCAGATTGCCAGCATCCATTGCCCCGTTTGTGGCACCTGAAAGAATGAAAAACATAAATAAACTTTCTTGCAAGAAAGAAGTACAAACTGTTCTCATACGATTTTGCAATACCTGCACCAACAACTGTGTGGATCTCATCGATGAACAAAATGATTTGGCCTTCTGAGTCTGTGACTTCTTTAAGTACAGCCTTTAGTCTATCTTCAAATTCTCCTCGATACTTTGCTCCAGCTATAAGTGCGCCCATATCAAGAGATATCAACTGAAAAGAAACCAAAAGGACTATTGAGATCCATACTTGTAAGAAAAAAATTTGATATATAGTAGCTAATAATACCTTTCTGTTCATCAAGGCTTGAGGTACATCTCCTTGCACAATCCTCTGAGCAAGTCTGTTTCAAGAATATGGAATGTAGCATCTTAGCATTTACATAGACATATGCTGAAACTTAGTGTTTTTGATGACATTTTACCCTTCTGAAATTGCGGTTTTACCAACACCAGGTTCACCGATCAACACAGGGTTGTTCTTTGTTCTCCTTGAGAGAATCTGAATGCATCTACGGATCTCATCATCTCTTCCAATCACAGGATCCAGCTTTCCTTCTCTCGCCATTGCTGTCAAATCTTTTCCATATTTCTCTAATGCCTCATACTTACCTTCCGGATCTGTGTTAACAAAAAAACATTAAGTCTCTTCTTAACCATTAAAACAGATTGCTAGCTGTGATTAACTAACCCACCAACCTTGGTCAATGACTGATTGTTTCCCTCTAATGGACTCAATAGCAGTTTTCAAGCTCTTCTCAGATATCTGAAAATCCTTAAACAACTGTTTCCCAAACCTCTTGTCTTGAGCAAAACCAAGAACCAAATGCTCCACCGAGACATAAGAGTCCCCTAAATCTTTCTTATACTGCCTTGCTCTCTGAAACAAACCTTCCAATTCACGCCCCAACATAGAACCAGCAGCTTCTCCATACACCTAACGAAAGTCACAAACTTAAAATTCACACACAAAACTTAAAAAAAAAAAGAGACAACTCAATTGTATTGTATAGTTACCTTTGGTTGGCGTTGAATAAACTTCTCTGTTGCTTCTAGAACCTTAGTGTTATCCACACCAATCTTAGAGAAAATCCTACGAGCTAAACCATTCTTCTGCTCCAAAAGAGCTTTCATGAGATGCTCTGTCTCAACAATCTGTTGCTTATTCTCTTTAGCCACATCTGGTGATGAAACTATAGATTGCCACGCCATCTCTGTGAACTCTTGCTGTGTAAGCTGTACCAAGTAACAACACAAAACAGAGTCAAACAGAGTCAAACAGAGTGTTCATATCAGTTCCACGATTATACTCAATTAAAAACTTAAAGTTTCAAACTTTTACCCTCCCATTGGTTGAAGCTTCACATCGGACGAGGAACGGCCGATGCTCAAGCCTCCGTGTGAGCTTCGCGCTCTGCTTAAGTTTCAGTGCTTTAAAGGAACTGGGCTTCGCCGGAAAAGCTACAGAAGGTTGAAGGTGATGAAAAGGAGAAACCTTTAGGGGTTTTTCCGATCTTACGCCGACCACGCCACTAAACGCCGACGTAGCAGCCGTCGACATTTGCTTGGGGAAATTTGAAAACGGCGAACTGTTCAGATAGGAGGATGTAAGACAGAAGGGGGTTTAGGACGTATTCGCCAAAACGGCGAAGTGTTTACTTAAGAATTCAGCTTTTGTTTTTCTTCCGTTCTGCGCGTAGTTTAGATAAAGGAGGGGGAGATGCTAAACGACGCCGGAGGCTTCGCGAAACCTTTGGGATGAGGTGCTCAACTACGCACGTAGACCTGCTTCAGACACGTGTTTCCTCTCGAAGATATATCATTTTTTTTGTGTAGAAATAATATCAAGTTGGGCTTTTAAAGCTCAGCCCACTAAGACTGTAGCGGAGATAAACAATGTAAATCACTTGCACTTATGGAGCGTGGCTTGTACGCTCCAATAGACAAGCTACATTCAGTTTTATTTGCAATAGGTAGCTTATGGAGCGCGTTAGAACTGTATTTTTTATTTTCTTTTAAGCAAATCTTTCAATGCTCATGAAAAAAAGGAGGAGGTTTATGCTGTGCTAAAGAAAAGTATAAGCCAGTTGAAAAAAAAAACAGAATAAGCCAACAAGATGATTTCACTGTGTGTTACGAATCGGAATTACATTTGAAACCTAACCTCAAGCAATCAAAAAGCTAATATTGTCACCAAAATAAAATTGCAGGAAGAGAAAAAGAAAGAACACACATTTCTAAATTTTCTTGTATAGCCTTCACATATTACATTGCAAATCACAGCTTCAATGATTATGAAGCTAAGAAAGGAGATACATTGCTGTATTAAGAAGCATGGAGCAAATGTAACAAGTGTGGTCTTGGTCATGACCCCCCTTAATAACCAAAAGACAAATCCAATCTTCTATATTCTTATAAAAAGATTCAAGAACTGGATTCTCCAATTGAAACCGAAAGAATTTCAAAAAGGGTAACCTTCTATTTTACAGAAAGAATGAATCTTCATATATCTCTTTCTCTTCCTCTTCCTCTTTCTCTTTCTCTTATGCAGCAGCTTCCCTTAAACGCTGCAACAAGTTTCTTATGTATGTTGGCAAACTAAAATGTCTGAGTCTTTAGAGAGAGTAAAACATGGAGTGCTCACGTTTTATCTCTTCTTTCTTTTACTTCCTAAATAGGCTAATACCTTTCCCTCTGTCTTTTACACACCTGCAAGTACCTTCAATATCATCTGAAAGTAGTTTCAGGTTTGCTACTCCAAGATGTGACAGTTCTTGATGAAGTCATTAGAGTAGTTGACGTATTTTGTCCAGAATGGCCGGAGATGCTCGAAACCAATCTCCAGCCATGGCTTTGATTGCCCATTGTAGTGGATCACTGCAGCTTTCCTAACATTTTCTATGTTGGTCTTGTTCTGATATCCTAATCCTAGCATATGCCATGACGAGTCTATTATCTGAACATGACCCTTAAACGCGATTAGAGCAGGAGGCAAGGTTCCAAGCTTCCACATTGCCAGATTCAACCTTAGATTCTACGACAAAACAGAGTAAAGAGAGTCAGGTTGGTACTAACTCTGCTAAAAGAAAAAACAGAAAGAGTGTACTGTGTAGGCTTCTTCTACCTCTCTAAGCCAAGAGTGATACGTTTCTCTGATATTTGTCTTTCTCCATGCTTGTAGATCAAAGACATTCATACCATACGCCCAAGCGCATTCTTCAGGATCCAAATGCTTTGCAATGAGTGGATGAGAGAAATTGAAATAGTTTCTTAAACGCTTTGACATCACCCATTCATCATCACCCCTGCAAGTCTCTACTGCTCCATTCACCTTACCACCAAGGTCAACATCCCATAGTGGAGCCAAGTCTCTCTGTACTACTATATCATCGTCTAAGAACACCACCTTCTCCAAGTTTGGGAAAAGCTCCGGAATATAGATTCTAAGATGGTTGAGCAATGATATGTATTTCGGACTTCTAGACTGCAGTTTAGAAGCAAATCTTCTCGGAGTTGTTTCAGTGAGGTTTGCTCCAGCGACATGATTCCCATGGTAATAGTTTCTGACACCATTATGGCTTTCCGCAGCTTCAAGAACCGGAACATTCTCTCTCGTCAACCAGTCAAACTGATGAACACCTTTGACTTCCACAATAGCAGGTGCAACAGAGTTGAGAGCGAACCAAGAATGCATACCAGCGTAGGTTTTCTTGTCTGTGATGATGTGAAAGACGATTTTCTCGGGTTTTGAAGATGACTGCACAGCGGATGAGACCACAACGGATGCAGCGAGTATATTGTCCGTGGAGAGAATGAAATGGTGGTAAGCGTTGTCTGAGAGACGAGGGAGAGATTCTGGTGAAGGGAGTTGTCTACGAGCATGAGCATTGGAGGAGTATTCATCTGTTAGTTTTAGTGAGAGGCAATGAATGCCTTTGGGAATGGAACTTGCTGCAAAATGCTTGTTTGTGAGTTCTGCAAATTTGGATTCTCTAATGTCTCGTTCGAACTTCTCCATCTGTTTAAGATAGACATAACCAATTACATTAAAAATTGTAGATCTCGCCTCAAATGCAAATCAACTTGACAATTAGAAGGGCCACAGATAAATGTAATAGGCAAAGCGTAGTACCATGGCTCGCAAGACAAGAGCAAAAGATTTTGCATCGTAGTGGTTGTTCTTCATATCGGAAACAAGATGGCGAAAAGAATCTGGAAGCTTCAAACCATCTGGAATTTCTTGAGTACTTACATCGTTTAGAATTGCATAGAATTCTCTAGCTAGTCTCTGCAGTTAGTAATATATATCATATAAGAAGACGAAAAGTAGTGAAGAAATAGCAGAGATGAAAGCAAGTACTCACTAACCTCTGAATCATCTACTCTACCAAGAAGACGTGGACCTAACCGCCTCCCTAAACAATCTGAAAGTAAGAAGAGATGGGATGAGATGAGAGACTTAAACGAGAGCATTACAAGGGCGCTGGGGAAATATTTAAAACGAAATCATCATATAATGGAAATAAACACCGATCTAAGATGGAGAAACTCGGAAAATGAACATCCTAAACCATAAAACGTATAAAACCAAGATTCCTCAAAACAGCATATGAATGTTTAAACCTAGTAGGGCGGATAAATCTGTAGTTTTAACTCCATACAAACATAAGAATGTGATTGATGTAGAAAATGTGAGAAATAGATTTTGGAATTATATCTACTGCTAACATTTAAGGTTGATACAGCTCCTTGAGAAAATCAAGATCCATTAGTGGGGGACCTAACAAGAAAAATCCAAAAAAAAAAAATGCTCAAATGAACACTAAAAGTCACATCCTAGTACAATCCCAAGACTTGCCGTACAATCCCAAGAGATGCTTGGGAGAATGAACACTAAACGATGCAATTTTTTTTTGTCAGCCTACCAAAATCAACCTCATAAGGAAGATTCTAATGATTGCAAACACAATCCTAAATTAATCTAATCCAGATGAGAAACCATTAAAGACAAGAAGAAAACAAAATCAGAAAAGGAACGAACAAAAGAGGTTATTTTAAAAAAAAAATATACCAATGGAGGAGCAATTGTTGGCACCTTCAAGGGTAACAATAGCTGTAAGAATGAAGACAAAAGGCAACAAGAAGGCAAGAACTAAGATGGTGTGGAAGAGAGTGCGGTAAGAGATGTGACGAGGTGCGAGTTTGATCTTCATTAATTCATCATTGTTTCTGCTGCTCGAAATCGTGATGCTTCTCATGCTAGGCGATATGTGAAGCTGCATCCTTCCAAAACCCTAATTCCTATCAATCCCAATCCCAACATCAGATCCGTCGATCAGATTTTCTTTCGATTCTCACTCCAGGCCTCCGTCTCTGTTTGGTTGCTTATTGTTATTCTTATTCGTCCTTGTGGTTTTGGTGTAGACAGCATTGGTTTTTCCGACAACTAGTGTAAGAGATCCAAAATTTGAGATTCCCGCCTACTTCTTTGGAGATTGCTTTGAACCAAAATTGAATAGGAGAATTTAAATGGGTTTGCCACAAAATCACGTCTTGAGCAGACCGTAAAGAGATCAAAGAGCTTCTGAGAATCTCAGAGCTGAGGAAGAAGAAATGAAAAAAAAGAAATATACAAATGAGAGGGAGAAATAGCTTTGGTTCTTCAGTGAATTTGCCGGTGGATCTAAATATATTTATTCATTCCAAAAACCAAAAAAGAAAAGAAAAAAGAATATCCAAAGAGAAAAGAAAATGATAATTAGTTGAAGAGCTAAAATTATTATTTAGTAATATATTAGTTAATTGGTGACTTGAGCTTGAGTTTAGGGATTTTTCTATAGAAAGCTATAATTAAGCAATGTCTCCACCTATTTTCATGGCTAAGTCAATACTTTTGCTTTTTCATCTTTCCTCCTCGTTAATGATTTCATATACTATAAACTAATTGCTAGTTAATGAAAAATTGACAATTTAATTGAAATAATCATAATATTTTTTTTTTAAAGAAATAAACATAATAGTATTTCATTCAGGATAATTAGACATTTACTCCATCTTCCTAACCACTTAATTAGACATGTAATCAAATATTAGACGCTAATCTTTATTTTACTTTATCATTAGATTCAGGACACCAGCAGAAGGGTAAATTGGCGTCGTCCACATGAAAACTGTGTGGATTTCACTCTAATCATTTTGGTGTTGGTAGGGATTTTCTCAAATTTATTACACAAGAATTCGTACAATTCTCTGTGTCGTTTTCGTTTTAGCATGTTACAGAAAAGTAGTAGTTATTTAATATCATTTATATGCTCAAAAGTTTTTGTCGTTGAATAACCTTAGGGCATAGACCAACCGACACATTCACTTATGACTTTTCAAAATCTACAAAAAATTGATTAGAGTGCTCTCTGTTTACAATAAATATTGATTCCAACAGTAAGAGGAACAGCAGTGAGAAGCCCCTAAACCCTCATCATGCTCTGTTTTTGAGTGCTATATGTTGCCGTGAGACTCTTCTTGTGACCCAAACTCAGTTTCATTAGCTTCTCTCCCTTTCTTGTATCACAAGAAACCCGTCAGGCCTTTCATTGCACAACATCCATTTTCACAGTGTCTACTACAAACTTGGGACTACTCTTAGACAAAAAAATCAAACACTCTCCCACTTCTAGTTCTTCATCAAGAAACGTAGTAAACCAACAAGACAATGGAGTAATATAAGTATAAGATATATATAATAAAAATAAAATCAAATGATTTGCTAACATCTAGACTCCATATAATCAGTTTTTGAAGAAAACTATTATATTACGGAAATAATACTTGAAAAGAGCTTACAATATATGATAACCCAAAAGGTACATAATTACCAAAAACAAAAAGAAAAACAAACCTAAACATCTCTGTTTGGACTTTCATACGAAGAACAAAAGCAACAATTATTTGATCAAAACATAGTAAAAAAGTATACGAAAATACTCATGAAATTAAAAGAGCTAAGAGGGGAAAGAGAGCTTTGCTTGGTTTGGTTTGGTTTGGTTTTAGGCAAGAGCAGGCATGTCCTTGAGCCACTGGTCCAAAGGCTTACCAATAGAATAAACAATAAACCCAATCTTCCTCAGCTTCTCAGCATCCACCACATTCCTACCATCAAAAACAAAAGCCGGTTTCTGCATACTCTCAAACACCTTCTCGTAATCCAGCTTCTTGAACTCATCCCACTCGGTCAAAATGCATATACCGTGAGCGTCTTTAGTCGCAGCGTACGCGTCCCAAGCGACAGAGACTTGCTTCACAGTGGTGGGACTCATTGGCTGGAGATGAAGCGGGTGGTCCCAGTCAAATTTGTTCATAGTCAAGTCTCTCTGGATCTGCTCCTCAGTGACTTGCGGGTCATAGATACTGATACGAGCTTTGTCACCGATAAGACCCTTGCAGACATCAATGGCTGGCGTCTCTCTCGTGTCTCCCGTGTCTTTCTTGAAGGCGAAACCAAGAACCGCAATCTTTTTGTTGGAGACCGTGTTGAACATCGAAGAGACGATTCTGTTGACGAATCTTGTTTTCTGGTAGTCGTTGATCTTGATGACTTGTTTCCAGTACTCTGCGACTTCAGGTAACCCGTTGCATTCACAGATGTAGACTAAGTTGAGTATGTCTTTCTGGAAACAAGATCCTCCGAAGCCAACGCTCGAGTTCAAGAACTTGGGACCGATACGAGAGTCTTTACCAACAGCGTAAGAGACTTCAGTGACATTAGCACCCGTCGCTTCACACAGAGCGGACATTGCGTTAACCGATGAGATCCTCTGAGCTAAGAAGGCGTTAGCCGCTAGCTTCGAAAGCTCAGCTGACCAGAGATTGGTGGTGAGGATCTTCTCTTCAGGCACCCATTGTGAATAAACATCTTTCAAGGCTTTTACAGCTGCGAACCCTTCAGGTGTCTCACGACCACCGATGAGTACACGGTCTGGTTTGAAGAGATCTTCAATGGCGGTTCCTTCAGCGAGGAACTCAGGGTTCGAGAGGATCTGGAACTTGATTCCTTTGCTGTTGTTGTGCGTGAGAATCTTCTCTATAGCCTCTGCGGTTTTGACAGGGACAGTTGATTTCTCGACAACGATCTTGTCGGAAACCGAGACGTCAGCGATCATACGAGCAGCGCTCTCCCAGTAAGTTAAGTCGGCAGCTTTGCCGGCTCCGAGACCACGGGTCTTGGTGGGTGTGTTGACGGAGACAAAGACAATGTCGGCTTCTCTGACGTGTTTCTCAACGTCGGTGCTGAAGAAGAGATTCTTTCCACGGCATTGTTTGACGACGTCGTCGAGACCAGGCTCGTAGATGGGGAGCTGGTCGCTGTTCCAGGCAGTGATCCTTGGGACGGAGATGTCAACAACGGCTACTTCGACGGATGGGCATTTTAGAGCAATTACGGCCATGGTTGGACCGCCTACGTATCCAGCTCCAATGCAGCAAATCTTCACCATTTTTTTTAAGCTTGTAAAACCTCCAAGAAAAAAGGTTAGATCCATCAGTAATCAATGTTATAAATAATCACCAAGATTCATAAGAGATGAAGTTTCAATACATAAGACAAGTCTGAATAATATGAACTGCATTCAATGGTTCTCAAATATTCCAATATACTCCCTCCAGTGTCACAATAGAGAATATTTTATTACAAAATAATTGTTATTTTCGATTTTTAATGTAAAATTTATTAATTTTATTATGTAATTTATTTTTTTATTTGTTGAAATATGGTTAGATGTATAGGTAATTATATTTTATATAAAAAATATGCAAAAATAATTATTTTCTTAATTTGTGTGCTAAAATAACACTTAAAACGAAACAGAACAATTAGAAAAGAGAACAAAAAAATGGTGACTCAACATGCCAGATCCAACAGTTCGCACGTTGTAAAATAAACACTTTTATGCAAAATAAAAGCTATAATTAAGCATTCAAAAAGGAGAATCCACAATATACAAGAGCTACCACTTTGACAGATTTTTTCTACTTTTAAAACTCAGATCTGGTTTGGTAAGAACTTGAAGATGCATATAGAATGCATTTACGTAAACATGAAAACAACATTTAGGTGAATGGGATACCAATGCATATCAACCCCGAGATCATCATGATCATGCTTAACAATTAGCAGGTTCAAAGTTAAATTCAAAGAAAGAAATTCAAATAAAAAACATCAGACAAATACATGCAAAAGTACATGGAGAGAATGACGTAAATGAGAAATGAAATTAAGTTAATTTTCTTTTAAGTTAATCACCGACACAGATCGAACCTGAAAATGCAGAAAATTTCACTGCACTCAACGTAAAGGGAGATTCATTTGTTTAGGGAGAAACACACACACACATTCAAAAACCAAAAAAAAAACAACAACAAAATAGATCGAAACAGAAACCAGATCGGTAAACATAAGAATTGGATCTCAAAAACAGAGAGGGAGAGAGAAGATACAATTGATCATACCTTTTTTGTGAAAGCCTTTGGTTCTTACACTAACGAAGAAGAAGAAGATGGAAGCTAAATCTGATGATAGAGGATGGAGAAGAAGAGCGGGTGTGTAGCGAGTTTATATAGGTGATGAGATTACTCCCCTTGATACCGTCAAAGCTAACCTCCGTTTTAATTAAAAACTTTCAGTTAAAAAACAAAAAAAAATTAAATGCAAAAAACGATGGGCCTCACAATGTTTGGCAGGTTTTGATTAACTCACGTTAAACATTTTACCATACCTCTGTATTGCTTTTGGACCAGCAATAATTAAATAGACACTGAAATCGTATAAAAGTCGACATAAACAAATATATATTGTACTACTATGTATTCAGTTAGTTAAATATGCATCTCAATTTATAACTTTTTGCTTCATTTATTTCCCTTTTCTAAAGATAAATATTTATATATGTAAGTAACAAAATAAATGAAATTTATTGTTCTGCCTAACTTTGTTTTCCTTTAAATTTAGTGTTTGGACCAACATAGCTGCAAGTACTTAACTCAAGCTATATTTTTATTCAGAAATTATGAACAGTTTGAAAAAATATATGACTATTTGCCTAATCTCCACAATATATAGAATGCTGAATAATATCCCATTACTTAGATTTTTTTTTGCATTTAAACTATAAACATATTAGGAAGTAGGAAGCCCAATATGTTTGTAAAAATATAGATCAATCTTGGTGTACAGATTTATTAAAAAGTAGTATATGTATATTGCTCTCAGTTTACACTTACAGTTAATTCCCTTCTATTTTCTGACTTTTTTCTTTGGCTAATGAACATATGTAAATAAGTTTGTTAATATGGTGTTAGTAAAAGAATTGTTATGAAAACATATTTTGAGTAATCTAAAGTCCACAATAAGTAAATCACTGCAGTTTCTAATACTTTTATGTGCGTCACTGCCCCAGTTTATACTCTATAATATAATTCCCAAAGGTTGGTGTTTAGTTTCAATAATGTACACCTTAATCTATATATTATTAAACCCCATTTTGTAGCAGTAGTTAAGTGATTGGTGCGGTGGAGTCTGGAGGACAAACTTGAGATGAAAGACTAATTGCACTTTGCTTAAATCCTCGGTCACACTTTCTGAAGTGCTTCTCAAGCTATATGTGAATATCTTTACAATAAAATAATACACCAAGAAGAGTGGCTGAAAATATTATATTAAATTAATCAATACTGAAACAAAATCTTTTGGAAAAATGCGTATATATTACATGGTTTTTTTTTTTTTTGTAACACACATAACATGGTTTATATACATAATTTTTGTAGTTGAACAAAAAAAAAATTGTTGAGAAAAGTTTATATACATAGTTGACCACGCAGAAAGATGATTCTTGTACAACTCGATTTGGTTTGCCATGTTACTTAAACTCGATTACTATAAAACCCCAAAATCATGATTTCTATATTCACTAATTACAAATTTACAATACTACTGCATAGTTTATCTTTGAACTCGAACGCGATTATAGGGACACTTTCACTTTCAGCAATTTATACTCCAGTTAAAGATAGTTGTTGGGTACGGTAATGTATTCTTATTACGTATATTCTTTATTCTTCACATATTTTACAACATTTTTCTCCTTAACCAAATAGATTTTACAATATGATATCCATGTTTAGTAAAATATATTTTCGCTAGTTTCAAAAAAAGAAGAAGTTATTGTATCGTTTGAAGAAGCTAAAGCATATGAACAAACATAAATACATTTTAGCAAAAAGTATTTGAATCAAAATTGTAGTTTGGACTAAGATTTGCTTTAGTTATATTGATCTTCATTTCGTTTGGTTAGGACGTTTTATTCATTAGCTTAGTTGTTGTGGTAAGTTTCTCTCCTTTTTTTTGCCAATAGGTTTCTTTTGTAAAATCAAACAACAATAAAAATTTTAAAATTCACAGAAAAATTAGTTTGGATACTTCATTTTTTTCTTATAAATAATTTAAATAGTAAATGTTAATATGTTTTGCTTCAAATTGTTTATGTTGCAAGACGCTGTAATATATTATATCCACGGTGATAATTTATTTATTTTCCTCGATTCACAATTTATTCTGTTTTACAATTTATTTTAAAGAACTTATGATGGTTATAAAGAAATTTCTGAACCTTTGATGGACATACAAACTTATATTTTGTGTTCTGAGCCAATGTACTATTGTATCCACTTGGATTCCATTATTGATTATCAAAAATCTTAATTGAATTTGTTCAAATTTGAAATCTAAAATTCTTTTACTCTAATTTTTTTTTTAAAAAAAAACTAATATGAATAGAACCAAATTCGAAAAGAACCAAAACTTGTAATAACCCAAAATTACGTGTAATTTTAATTAAAGACTCAAATTGCTTCGGATCTGACTGAAACTGACTCAAACCAAACTTGAATCGGAAAGTTCCAAACACCTAGTTACGTCTAAATATTTAAGATCCGAAGGATTCGAATACAAAACCAACTCAAAGAACCAAAAATTACATGTCCAGCTGGAATATTTGATGTGATGTGGCAATTAAAAAGCAGCACTATAATAACATTATTATTCAACGGACAAGATTAAAGAAAGAAATGATTTATTTCTTAATAAAAATAGTATCAAGAGAAGACTACTAGCCGTTATCAAGAGCGTCCAAAAGCGCCGCAACGGTCACATTATTTTCTCCCCATCTATCTTCTTTATTCAATCTTCACACTCCATTCCGAATACAAAACCCTAAATTCTCAGACCAAATAACGAATCATCTTCCCTAACTTCTCCTCCTTCTTCGTGTTGCTCCTTTTTTTTAAAAAAATTCCAGATCTGTTCTTATCTTCGATGGAATCGCTGATTTTGAAAAACGGCAAACCGGGGACTCCGGTTAAGGATCGTACCAAGTCGTCGGAGAACTCGAACCCTAACGTTTCCAGTCCATCCAAGTCCCCGCTCGTGAAATCCGCTAAGAGATCGGCGAAGAAGAATCCGAATCAGAGCCCGAATCCGAATCCGAAAACTAGCCAAGCGGTTTTCTCTCCGCGGAACCGGATCAGAGAGAGGAGGTTCGTCGTGGTGACGAAGAAGAATTCAAAGAAGGAGAAGAAAGAAGATCCGATAGACTGTAAATGCGGAGAGAGGAAGAGAGGGAACATGAAGTGCGTCTGCGTCGCGTACGAGACGCTTCGTGCTTCTCAAGAGGAGTTTCTCAAGAAACGAAACGAATCCGAGGAGGAAGAACGGTGGGATAATAATAATAATAATAATAATAATAATATCGGAGATGAGGTGGAAGGAGAAGAATCCGTTGAACCGGAGATGATGGGGGCTTTGAAGAGGACAAGGGGGAAGGTAGTGGAAGAGTCACGGAGGAGTGTGCCTGAGTCTGGTAAAGTGATGAATCTTGTTGAAGCGTTTGAGAAACTCAAGTGCTTTGGTACTAACAAGGATGAAGAGGAGGAGGAAACCGTTGGGAAGGTGGAGGTGTGTGGGGTGAGACAGCAATGTAAGTTGTGGGAGGGGGAGAGAGAGACAGAGCAGACGTGGAGTTCTGAGTTTTGTCCTGATGGATTGGTTTTGACTGCTGAGAATCTTGGGTTGGATCCCAATGCCTCTGTCTCGTCGTCTTGGGATAACAGCCACGGCAGGTTGGTGACTTAGTAGTCTCTGTTTAGTTTTATGATCTTGTCAGGTTCTGAATTGGTTGATGTGATGTTTCAGTGTTTTGAGTGGGATGTCAAATGCTGGCAGGAGAAGCAGAAGAAATGTATGTGTATAATTACTGGTTGTTTAATCATAATCTGTCTTGATAGTAGATGCCTATAAAGCTTAGGGATAGTGAGAATTGACATAAGTTTGATATTGTTGTGTGTGGCAGAGCTTGGACTCATCGACTACAATGGGAAGCAGAAAGTCAAAGAAGAAGCAGGTTAAGGTCACTTCATTGAAGCCGTTCAAACTTAGAACTGAGGTATGAGCTTCTTTAGATACAAAAATATTTCAAGTTTCCGGATTCATGGTAGAAATTGAGTCTTGACTGTTGGTTGGTCTTTTGTGTTTCTCTGCAGCAAAGAGGTAAGGTGAAAGAGGAAGAGTTTGCAAAGAAGCTCCAAGAGATAACGATGGTGGAAGAAAAGATGAGAATACCCATTGCTCAAGGTCTTCCATGGACAACCGATGAACCTGAGGTAAGCATGCTGCTGCTTTCCTATTAACATCCAGTCTGATCTTGCAAGCTCTGGTGAGAACCAGTAATGTGGTAATTTGCAGTGTTTGAGAGGACAAACTAGAACCGTTTTTCCCTTGCCTACCAAAGAATCCAAATTTAAAATTGTGTAGTTGAATATGATTGTACAATATCATGATGAAGAGGAAGTGAAGCAGATGATATCTTGTTAAGTATGAAGCTAGCATTCTAAAGTTGTTTTTCTGTTGTTGCAGTGTCTGGTTAAGCCTCATGTGAAAGATATTACAATACCCGTTGACTTGACGCTCCACTCAGATGTCCGGGCAGTAGAACGCGCAGGATTTGATCAGCAGGTAAACCTTGCATTGATTAAATCTACATTCTGTGGGGTTTGAACGAGAATTGTTCCCGTAATTTTGCAAGATACCTTAAAAACTGCTGAAATGATATGGTTTGATTAGAGTAGAATCATTGCGGGCATATTTGTTCTCTCATCATCCTTAAGTTAGTTTTATTGAGAGCCAAATGGTTGTCTTGTCCATTCAATAAACTTTTTCCATGTGAATATGCTGTTATAGGTTGCTGAGAAGATGAGTATGATCGAGCAATACAAAATGGAAAGAGAGAGAGAACAGAAGGTAAAATTGTGTTGGGGATTGATGTGGCCATATCTAATATAAGAAGAGTATCTTGCTTGAGTTTGATTTCAATAATCCTTTTACTATTTTCAGCTGGCGGAGGAAGAAGAGATAAGAAGGCTGAGGAAAGAATTGGTCCCAAAGGCGCAACCAATGCCATACTTTGATCGACCATTCATTCCAAGAAGGTAAGAATACACTGTGCTCTTCAGTTTCCTTTCTTACATACATCACAGAAAGATAGAGATAGTTCTCTCTTTACGGACAATAGTAGAGAGAGACTTCTTGTTTGCAATATAAGCTGAAACAGTGTTTTGCTTATTGTTGTTTTCCTTTTTTTACCATTCATCAGGTCGAACAAACATCCAACTGCGCCACGAGATCCCAAGTTCCACATACCGCAACACAAGAAAATCAGATGCTGCAGCTCATCTTGTAGTGAAACTGGCTCTTACTTGAGCGATCTCAATTATCAGTGTCTCTAGTTTCTAGCTACACTTTCGTTGGTTTTGGTTCTTTCTTTAGAACTGTCACAATATGTATGTTTTTGAAAATAAAGTCGACACAATTATTCATCTTTGTATACCTGGTTTGATGAGAAAGGTGTAGTTTGGATAACATTTAAAAGAATCCTTAAGTAATGTGTTAATATCACCAATCCACACTAACCACATTAATTGCATCGGTGCAACTCCCGGTAGTAAATGCTTTTTCTTGTAAACCATCTCGACCTTGTTCAATTGATGACAGTCACTGGGACTTGCAACAGCAATCACAAGTCACAATTTACGTGCGAGTGGTTATAGTAATTGACTATACAAGTCGTTAATTCAGATCACTAAGCGATTAAATATTTTTAATTTTCGTAAGCTCAGATTGATTGTTGCAATAACTCCAAAGTGATGAAACATGGTTGCAGGTCGATTAGTTACAATCACGGCCTATGTTATTTTAAACTTTTCTTAAAAAAAGACCATGTTATACTCTGCATCGTATGGATGACGCCAGACAGATGCCGTTCCCACTGCCAAATCCACCAACAGATACTTGGTAGTATCTCAACAGAGTTCCCAAACAATAACAAAGAAAGAAATTTTATAAAAATAACATATGGGCACCCTAAAAAGGACCAGTGTGTGACCAATACAATAGCAACGAGTGAATTACCAACCAAAGATCGAAGGACCCACTCCTCCCTAATCCTGGTCTTCTTTCTCTACTTAGATCCTTTCTTCTTTTCATTCTAATTCCAATTCATTCGTGGTCTTCCTAAACCTTACTGTACATTGGTTAAAATATCCTAAAGAGCACAACGGGATTGAATTTTCTTTTTGTTTGCTGCTTTATGTACATGACATGAGCAAAAGTGCATCTGACTTCTTTACCTTCTGTTGCTATTTCTAGTGCTGTAATTTAGTCTCCGAGCAGTCATACCCCTTCCTCTCCCTCCTCCATTCCAACCTCTATCGTTATCATCATCGTCATTGTCATCATCATGTTCATCGTAGGCCACTGCTTTTTTTGCAGATCTTGAGCTTTTTCTTGGCGTTGGGCGTTTTCTCTTGACGTTTGAAGAATATATGGTGTAGTCAAGTGTATCTTCTCTCATCGCGTTTTTAAACTCCTGCAAGAGATAACATATCGACGGAAATGTTTATCTATGGATTAAGACTATAGACATGAGTTAAAAAGGGTGAAAACTTCTTAGCGGTTTAGACCTGATATCTCAGAACCAAGTCTTGATATGTTGAAGGTAAGTCAGTGCGAGTATCGCTGAGGTCAAAGGCAACATTTTGTCTGGACAGAGGGTCTCCTGGCTTCAATGGTTCCGTTGGAGAATAGGCCTGAGATAAAACCAAAAAAAAAATTCAAACACAATCACGGTTTAGGTGAACAAGTTAAGGAAAAAAAAGAAACTTAAATCTAAAAAGAAGTCGTGGAAAGACAGAATCGTACTTGGCACCGTTCATCATTTAAGCTGAACGTGACTTTTAAGTATCTCTTGAGCTTCAAAAGTAGTTGTAAAGCTATAGCTGATAAGCAATCAACCTGAAACAGCACCAAAAGAAAGACTTGCATGAAATGAAAACGCCATGTAAAAGCAACGAATGTTATTAGAGTACTCAATTTGAAAAAAAAAACATATGTGAAACTGAGCTGATCTGACCAAACCAAACCCAAAAACATATATAAGGTTATTTTAGATTCTCTATATCCACAAAACCAAAACAAGTCACTGACACAGAAAACCGAAATGAACTTTACTTTCTTAAGTTGAGTATATATTTGACTAAAATCAAACTAAAACCAACCGAAATCGAACCAAAATGTATCAACCTAATCTATGCAATATTCGATTTACAATAGTCTTGGGTCTTGGCGATAAAGTGGAAATATTCAAACAAACAAAAAAACCCTAGTTTTAGCACCCTAAACATCAATAGAGAAAAGAGATATGAAGACTACCTCAATTTTCTGCAAATCATCGGTGGATAATTCAGGCGGATCAGAAGAATTCATCTTGTGCACATTTGCTTCGCCATAATGGGTTTGATATGAAGTAAACTGATCCCTGGGATCTTGGTACACTACTCCATTAAGATCAATTGGAGTCGAATGGGTATAGGAAGTACAATGCGTATGTTCTTCTTGAATTCTTGTGTTCAAATCCATCATGTGAATATGTGCAGGAGTCGAATCTTGTTGGAGGTAGGTTCCATTTCCATGCTGAGTCTTTGTGGAATCTTTATGTAACAAAGACTTCAAATTGGACTCGATTGCACCAGCCCGGACTTGTATAACTCGGTTTATTGAATACACAAGATAGAGCGGCTCATCAGGTGTTGTGAATGGAAGTAAAGCAAGGGTTTCAGTGCAATACCTGTAAAAGAGAGACAGAAAAAAATTAGTGTGCTTATTTTACCACAGAGAGACGGTGAAGTTATTTCATAGCACCGAATACTCACATCAGGAAGGATATCACTGAACCGCTCCAGGTTGGATTATCAAACTTGCGAACAATAGAAGTCATAAATTTGTTTCGAGAAATCCGGTTTCCACGGATAAGCTTGTAGATCCTAGAGACTCCAAGTCTAGCTTGTGTGAGACTGCTACTAGTGTGATCATTCTTCCCCGAACCCCTCTTCTGCTGAGGATTTTGATTTGATTCTGAATAGACCTGCCTGCTGATGGATTGCATGAAGCTGAACGACATTTGAAGTCCGTCACCCAGACGGCTTTCAAAAAAAGCCGGATACCTGATTGAAAATGTCTAGAGATGTTAGTGCGCCAACACTTGATGATCGAAAAGTGTAAAATTTTGTAAAATCCAGTCAGAGGATTACTTCTCATGCATATTCATTAGTAAATGATGGGCCAGCTTTTGGTTGGCCTCCAGCGGATCTGTCTCGAGGGCAATCAAATAAGGAACACATGTAATAGGATGAACAAGACCTTGACGTAGTACGACTTCCACTATCTGCGGGACAGATATATCTCACTAATTCACACAATAGCTAAGAGACAAGTAAATATTATTTTATGTTAAAAAGGCAAACCTTGAGAGCAATCTGGCGAATTTGATCATCACAGTCCAAGCATCTACTTAATATCTTATCCCAATACAACTGCACAATACCTCCGCAAATGTTGGTGTCACCTGCACCAGCGGCCACGGGTACAGTATGTCCACCTTGATCAACTGGGTTAACAGTGATATCAACAGCTTTATCTGATCCCAATTGTTTTTCCGCATCAATAAGGTAATCATACATGTTTTGTAATCCTTGCATCTGAATCATGAGCATTTAAAAAAAGATGTAACCATATGCAAGCGTAGAACAAATCATGTACACCATAGAAACTAACAACGCAAGTATATGGGCCACATTTACCTTCATACGTCCGTTTGCTTCATCTGATAATGTACTCTCGATTATCTTTCCAATGCCTTCTTCCAACATGTATTCAGGCCGTGCAATTAGAATGAAACCTAAAGCCTGCAGGAAGTTTGAGGTCACCATTATTCTAGCAAAATAAAATACTGAGAATGTGCAACAGACTAGCACAGTATGTACTATACCTGCAGGGACCTGACTTTCAAAGCAAAATCTTCCATGCGGAGGTGTCGTTTGAATAAATTGAGACAGCCAGAAAGATTGAAACTCCTATCACCTGAGGTGCTAATAAGAGAATTACCATGGCGAATAAGCAACCCAAGACAAAAAAGGGACCGCCCAGCAATCTGAAATAAACAAGAAACTGTTCAAAATTTAGCTTCAGGATAGTCCGTTGCAAGATACATCTTGGAAAGAAAAACAGCCATCTGAACCCAGTCAACACTCGCTCTCAAGTGATATATGTGAACATTGAACATTACTATCAGTAAGCAGTAAGACCACAATAGAGAGCAGTGTCAGTAGATAATGATCTTATAAGTAAGAGGAAAATGACAGTCAGTTGTGTATCTATTTAACGATAAGCAACCACAGAAGTTCTGATTGCATGATCTTTTCAAAGAAAACCCACCTGGTTGTTATCAGCACCTTGGGACTCCAGCCGCTTAAAAAAGAACTGGAGGAGATGCTCGACTACGCTAACACCTTTTCCCACCAATTTACTCACAGAACAGAGACACCTGAGATTTAGAAAGGTTGCACTAATCAAATAGAAGGCAGTCTCATAAAAAACAAGAGTGGTGTTTCTTGACTGCATCTTTCATCATGACATGTGAGCATCCAAATAAAAGTGAACGCATGTGAAAGTGAAGACGCTTTAGAGCGATGAATGATGGTAGATGAGTAATATATGGTACCTAACGCAAGCATGAACAACAGTTAGAAATGAATGCCGAAGAACCATATGCTTTAGATCTTGCTCCAGATCTTCAGTGACGCTAATAGGTAGCTTGCGGACCAAGGGTAGGACAGAATCGATTATGAAGATAATACTCTCTAGTAACTGCGCTCCTATTCTACTGTCAACCTGCAACAAATACAGAAGGAACACTTATAAGTTTGAGATACTATTGCAGACACAGCTCTTACTCAGATGATTTCTTCTCAGCATTAGTACCACTATTTCTCAAAGAAAGCATAGCTCCTAACAGAATCATTCCTTTACAAAACCTAAGAGAATCTTGAGCAGAGTGGCCATATATAACCTGACTCTTGAGATACGGCTGTAGGGTGATAACAAACTTAGTAGGGTCTGAAGACGGTGTACACAGCCCAGGATCCACCATACAGAAAGCATGCAAAAGAAGTACATAAGGAAGTACTTGCACATCTCCTTCTTCACGGCTCATTTCTTCTACCTGACGGAACAAAGGATGTTATATATAGGGTATCCGACCAGCCCATCAATGAACCGACATAAAGCATTAATGTTGACCTGTAATATTTTTTCCAGTAAGCACTTGCACATCAGCTCGCAGCGCCTGCGTACTGATGCAAGAGCAACTGTGTTGATACCAGCAGTTTTAGTT